CCTCCAACGCAGCAAATAAGCTACACTTATTACAATTACCACTGTCGCTAAAGGAGGCAGAGGCATAACTGAACATTTGGCACACCGGGCAAGAAAGAGCAGGAGAAGGAGAAGCCATGGCTAAGCTAAAGTAGCTAACAAGGCTAAGAGCGTGCAAACAACAGCTAAGAGATTAGCGAGAAAGTCGTAGAAAGAAGGAGAGCTATAAGTGCTTAAACAGAACCAGTGTGGGTTATGACTTGAAGTAGACGTTAAAGCAGCGTTAAAGCAACTGAGGTGAGAAAGCAGGCTAGCAGAATTCACCAGAGCAGTACAGAGACACTGTCACAGAAACACCGGAAATGACACAACTCGCTTACCGCAATACGTCAGCACGTGAGTCCAGATGGCCAGAATAAATGTTGATATAATGTCCTGAAAATATTAATAAAATGTCTGAAAAATATCATTAAAATGTTGATTAAAATGTTGGAGAAAAAATGGTAACAAGATGTCAGAAAAAAGAAGTGAATTACTATGTCTGTATATAATATGAAAATTTCAGAAAAAAATGGGAATTAAATGTTCATAAAATGTTGATAAAATGTCAGAAAAATTGGTAATGAAATGCCTGAAAAAAATATAAATAAGATGTCCTGAAATATTCTTAAAATGTTGGACAAAAAATAGTAAAACAAATTTTTTTAAAAAAAGATGGTGATAAAATATCAGAAAAATATTCAACTCATCAGAAAAAATAATAAAATGTCTGAAAAATGTAGATAAAATGTTCAAAAACTTTTTTGTCCAAAAAAATTTGTCTGAAAAACATCATAAAATAATATGAAATTGTTTGAAAAATTATTGATAAAATGGCCAAAAAAATTTCATAAAATGTCTGAAAAATGTTGATTAAAAAGTCCTGACCAACACAAACTGCAGCATGAAACAGTTTTAAACACCTTGAAGAAGAAATTCTGCTTAGTTTGTGTCACCTTAAAAAGTCCAAAACCAGCCTGTCAGCCTCAGAGGGAGGCTGTTCACAGCGATATAATAAACCATATTATTGTCATGTTACGCCACTGATGTGATGTTGATATATCAGCATAATATTGCAGGTAAAGCCTTTCAAAGAACGATGAACTGGAAACATTCCAGCACTGGATATTTTCTCTTTTTGGGACCATCCTCTGTAAACCCCAGAGATGGTTGTGCTGAAAATCCCAGTAAATACTCCATACCATACCACGTTCAAAGTCACTTCAATCACCTTTCTTCATCATTCTGATGCTCCGTTTGAACTTGCATGTACGGAGCCTGGGTTTGGTTGAAGGTGGCAGTGCTGTTTGGGCTGAGAAAGCCATGTGTAAGTAAGGTAAAGGAGGTTATTGGGTTGGTGTGGGGAGGGGAGCAGTGATACCTGGCATTAGGGGGGTGTCTCTGGGACGCCAGAGATCACTGTCTAGCCTCTTGAAGGTGTCGTGGGACCAACTAGATGAAACACTGGTGAAAGGAGGTTCCCACCAGATGACCCCAAAGACATGTTAGTTATCACTGCTCACTGGTCTGTATAGTTAAGCCTTGCCATAATAGCTTATCATAGGGCTTAGGAGGTTATTCACTGAGTGCTGATCCTTTCTCTAGAGCACAAACTTCTTGTGTTTATTTGAATGAATGCGTTAAGGAGCAGATGAACAGGTGTACCTAATAAAGTGGGTGGTGAGTGTATAAAGTTGTAGGGGTAGCCCTAAATTCTCAGTTCAGACTTAATACAAAATTTGGCCAACAAAAAGGAAACTAAGTGATTTCTCTTGCATCTAATACTCAAGCTTCACCTGGGAGTCGCACGGTTTGCTGGAGGTTTTATGGCGCAGAAGAAGCTGTCAGAGGAGAAAACTACTAACAACACATCAGGACTAAACGTCCTCTATTCCAAAAATGCAGCTACAGGCTACCGGTGAGCTACACTGCGTCATCTTCGAAGCGATGTTTTATTATTCCTCAAACTCATGAAGGTCGGTGAGAGTGGAGAGAAAGACAAAGATAATAGTTGTGAAAACCTGCTGTTTATTGTGGCGTCAGTTTGGCTTTAATGTAGGAGACATAGGATAAGTCAAACTGAGGTCAGCATAACAATCAATGTCATGTCCATATATGGTATGATAATAATGTAATTATCATGACACGCTTGCACATCTAAGGGTACAGCGGCTCTGATTAACATATTCAAAGATAAACATGTCTTTAGCCACACTGTAGAGTTGCACATTTGAGGGTCTTTTGATATGGAGAGAGAATTGGTACGTCATGACAATTTATCACATCTGACAAACAGTATCAGCTCATAAATATGTGACACTCCCACAGGCATTCCCATCCACACATTGACTTGGTGCTTCTTATTGTATTTGTGGGCAGTCACGTTTCTGCTTACAACAACTGTATGACAGATGATCATTAACATAAGTTATTTAAAACAAGTTATACATGTAATGTAATCACGGCAGAACATCTTCAAAGTATAGAATATGTAGTGTAGGTGACCCAACATGACTCTAACCATATTTGGGTGTGTGAGGAGAAGTATATGTTCCCAGAACTGGTTATCTAAATAACAGGAAACAGTAGCTTAAGTGACAGGAAGCCCCTCTGAATGTGTGTGCATGGTAAGGTTTATAGGTGTGTCACATATCCATGCGCTCATATTGTTTGTCAGATGCTATAAATTGTCATGATGTATCAATTCTTCCACACAGCCGAATTGATCATTCACCTGATCTCGTTGGGGTTAGCGATCAACTGGAAGAATAGCAGCCCCCTGCTGCACCAACAGGTTGAGTATCTGGGAGTTGAGCTCTACGCATACAGGCTGCAGGCCACTCTATCGGAACACAGACAGACAGCCCTGCAGCAGGCAGTGTGCAAGCTGTGTTGGGGTGCGATAGTGACGGTGGTGACAGGCATGTAGGCCCTGTGCTTGTTGGCAGCTGCTAACCTAGAGGTACTGCTGCGGATACTGCAGTGCTTGCAGAGGTGGTTTTCCAGCCTTTGCTTTGATGTAAAAAAGCACAAGCAACGCCTGGTCACCATTTCCCCCTCAGTACAGGATGACCTGCGAGACCTGTTGAAAAGAACACTTCTGGGATGAATGACCTCTTACGTCATGCTGTTCACGGAAGCATCCCTGACAAAGTGGGAAGAGCCCAGTCTGGGGAGAACAATAGGTGGTGTCTGATGTTGCACATCAACCTCCTTGAGCTACAGGCAGTGTTTTTGGTTCCTCTGAGGCAGGGGAGGCACATGTTGGTAACAACTGACACTCCTGCTTTCTGGCAGTTCGTATCAGTGTGGTCTTTCTCCGTCAGGAAGCGGGTCATCCTTCTGGTCAGGCCCAAGAGGAGGATCTTTTTTTTTTTCTTTTTCTTTTTTTCTTACAGTTAACAGGGCGATGCTTCCGAGTTGGGCCCAATTCATTTCCTTGAGGATGAAGGCAGCAACTGCTCTTTGCCACTCAGAAGTAATGCGTTGCTTTTTTCCAGGCAGTTCTCATGAGTACCACAGCAGTTCTAGCACCTTGGAGCCGTTCTTAAAGAGCTTGTAGAGTACTCTGTTCCTGACTTTACTGATCTTGAGGGGCTTGTTTTTTGGCGGGGTAGAACGAGGCACATACCCTGATGTTTTTGTTTTTTTTTCTTTGGATGTTGCTTGTTGGATCACTGCACTGCAATGTGCAAAAATGTGACAAATTTCAAATGCATGGCAAACTCACTGTTACAGCCCTAATTAGCATAAAATCACAGTTTGTCTCAATGTGTCTCTGTGTGTCTCATTGTCCCCCTGCAGTGCAGCAGCAGTTGGTGGTTAAAGAAGAGGTTCCCCCTGAGCAGCAGGAGTGGAGCTCCAGTGTGGACCAGGAGGACCCAGAGCCCCCACACATTAAAGAGGAAGAGGAGGAACTGTGGAGCAGTCAGGAGGGAGAGCAGCTTCAAGGGCTGGAGGAGGCTGATATCACCAAGTTCCCATTCACTCCTGTCCCTGTGAAGAGTGAAGATGATGAAGAGAAACCTCAGTCTGAGGGACACCACTGTGGAGGACCGGGACCAGTGCCTGGAGGAGGAGTACAACCAGCACCTGGAGGAGGGGTACGACTAGTGCCCAGAGACTCTGATCCAGATTTAGAACCAGATACTGATGACAAGAAGCCTGACTGTTCTTTAGTTGCTGAGATCGAAGTCAGTCTTGATGACTGGGACGAGACCAGAGAACCTCAGTCAGGTTTAAAGACTCACAATAAAAATGAGGTCCCTGTCAGTCCTGTGATGTGTCTCTCTGATGAAAATCCCTTTAGCTGCTCTGAGACTTCAGACTTTTCTGAACCTGAGATTGACGAGGGTGATGACTGGGCAGGGTCCAGAGAACCTCAGTCATGTTTAAACTCTGTCCCCACCAGGGATAAGAAAGGTAGCGCTGACGAGAAACCATTCAGCTGCTCCATCTGTAAGATAAACTTTACCCGGAGAGGAAGTCTACAGACGCACATGAGAATCCACACTGGAGAGAAACCATTCATTTGCCCCTTTTGTAGTAAAAGTTTTACCCAAGCAGGAAGTCTGAAAAGACACATGAGCATCCACACGGGGGAGAAAAGATTCAGCTGCAGTGTCTGCGACCGAAGATTCATCTGGCTCCATCAGCTCATGAACCATCAGTGTGGCGGGCGTCAGGAGTCAGTCGAAATTGGAGAGGCAGAGCCTCCAGGCAGCAGCTCGACTCAGCAGGTAAAACAAGAGTCTGATGGAGAGAACTGTGGAGGTGTACCACCAGTGCCCGGAGGTGGCATGTTATCAGTGCCCAGGAGTGGTGGCCCACCAGTGCTCATAAACTCCTCTGAACTAAAAACTGAAGACGGTGGTGATTGTACAGAGACCAGAGAACCTCAGTCATGTTTAAACTCTCTGAAAAATGTTGGTGAGAAACGGTTTAGCTGCTCTGAGTGTGGGAAAAGGTTCAGCACCAAGGGTAGTCTGAAGGAACACATGAGAATCCACACGGGGGAAAAACCATTCAGTTGCTCTGTCTGTAACAAATCTTTCACGCAGAGCGGGAGTTTACAGAAACACATGAGGATCCACACTGGCGAGAAAATATTCACCTGCTCTGTATGCGACAAAAAATTTTTGAACAAGGCGCACCTGAAGACGCACATGGTCACGCACACGGGAGAGAAACCGTTCAGCTGTGCACTGTGTGGTAAAGCTTTCATTGAGAACGGAAACCTGAAGAAACACATGAGGACTCACACAGGGGAGAAACCATTCAGCTGCTCGATGTGTGAGAAATCTTTTACGCAGAACGGGAGTTTGCAGACTCACATGAGGACTCACACCGGAGAAAAACCGTTCAGCTGTTCCGTTTGTGATCAGAGATTCTTGAGTAAGGCACACCTGAAGACGCACTTGATAAAACACACTGGAGAGAAACCCTTCAGCTGCTCCGTGTGCGGGAAAGGTTTCAACGAAGGTGGTAATCTTAGGAAACACATGAAGACGCACTCAGGAGAGAAACCGTTCAGCTGCTCCATCTGTGATCAAAGATTTTTACAGAAGACAGACCTGAAGCGTCACATGATCACACACACTGGAGAGAAGTTTTTCAGCTGCTCCATTTGCGATCAGAGTTTTTTACAGAAGCCGAATTTGAAGAGACACATGATCACGCACACGGGAGAGAAACCCTTCGTTTGCACTGTGTGCGGCAAACGGTTCATTCAGAAAGTTCACCTGACACACCACATGGCCCGACACACTGGAGAGAAGAGATTCCGGTGCGGCATGTGTGATCAGAAATTTGCTTGGCTTTATCAGCTGAGGAACCATCAGTGTGTCAGTCAGCAGTCGTCACAGGTTCAGCGGACTGAGGAGGAGGGCGGAGGGGCGGAGCCTCCGGCCAGCAGCTCAGCTGATGAGCAACAACAACTTCAAATGGATCTCACATGAGAATAGTATGGATTTTAGTATCGACGCCAGATAAGGACAAATATACAGAAGGATTATTTCTGGATACATGAAAAGCTTTTAATGGGGAAATTTTTCGAGCCAAAAAAAGTTCCAACAGCTTTCAGAGTTTAGCATTTCAGTATAGAGCTGCAGCAGTGTGAGATTTTCATGAACAGTAACTGTCTCAAAAAAATATCGCAGGTTCACAGCACTGTGGTATAACAGTTAAAGTCCCACTGATTGTCACACACCAGAATGTGTGAAATTTGTTCTCCGCATTTGACCCATCCCCTGAGGGAGCAGTGAGCAGCAGCGGTGCTGCGCTCAGGAATCATGTGGTGATCTAACCCCCCAATTCCAACCCCTGATGCTGAGTGCCAAGCAGGGAGGCAATGGGTCCCATTTTTATAATCTTTGTGTATATATATATATATATATATGTGTGTGTGTGTGTAAACGTATGTATATATACGTATATATGAATATATGACATACATGAATGGAAATTTGCGGGACGTTTTTGGCCAAGTTGCTTGTTGCCTTTAAAGGTTTAATGTTTGTAAAAGGGGGTTTTGCTCAGTGGTGCAAAAATAAAAGTTGAAATTAAGGAGGGCAACATCAGGTCTGATACTTGTGATGAAGGATTATACTTTATTTTAATAGTCTGACAAGAAGAATCTCCTGAACAAAGCAGGTTGTTGACAGAGTTTCCTGCTTTAATAAAATGATTGCAATTTATTTTTACACAGGAAGTAACTGAGGTGTAACTCTGCCTTTGTTACTGTAGTTTGTTTTTCTGGTTTTATATGAGAACATGATGTTCATAGGCGTTTCATATTCTGTATATTGATCTACCATCATCTTTTGAATTTGGTTCATTGTTTTCTCTGAGCTCTGAAAATGTCATCAAATATTTGTCTTTGTTCAAACTGAGCTGGTTAAATCAGTAAAAAGCAGCGAGTGTTTCCCAAACTGAGAGGATTTAATAAAGAGCACTTTATGTTTCTTTAAAGATTTTTGCTGTTTTTTTCTCTTTTTTGAATTTGTTTGGCCAATTTAAAAGATAACATTCTCTCTAAACCCAAGGCATGTCTTCTTCAAACATCTTTTCTTTCAAAAATGTTGGTCTTTTTTTTTCTTAAAAAGATTGCGTCTTTAAATATTTTTGCCGATTTTTTTTTCTTCTTGTAAAGCTTTTGGCCTTTTTTAAACGATTGTTTTGTTTGAAAATGTTTTTTTTTTTTTGCTTTAATTGTTAATTGACAATTAAATGATCAAATAGTGTATGACATTAAAAAAAACATTATGAAATGCCAAACAATGATGACCTTATGGTTTTAAGGGTATAATTAAGAACCCTTAATTCCCTTACTTCCTGCGTGTTTCTCTGGGTAAACCTGTAATCTGGACTTTTATTTTGAAGGAGAGCAGATGAGCTGCCCCGGAAGCTCTATTATTTACTGTAGCTAAATTGACAGTGTTTGAAAAAGATGGCGTCGAGCAGAAACGTCTGTTAGCAGAGTGTCTTTGTTGTGTTTTTAAAGTGTGAAGATGTGTAAAGTCCAAATGCTGAGAGCGTTGGTGAAGCAGCGACTAACTGCGGCTGCTGAAGAGATATTTGGGCTGTTTGAAAGAACGATAGCAGAGTACGAGGAGCAACTTTGTCGCTCAAAAGAGGAGAACGAGCGACAACGGAAACTACTGGACGCTGTTTACAACCCTCAGCTCAGGTTACACAGAGCAGGTTAGTGTGTTCTTCTTCTGTGGTTATAAACACAGAGCAGGTTAGTGTCTTCTTCTTCTGTGGTTATAAACACAGAGCAGGTTAGTGTCTTCTTCTTCTGTGGTTATAAACACAGAGCAGGTTAGTGTCTTCTTCTTCTGTGGTTATAAACACAGAGCAGGTTAGTGTCTTCTTCTTCTGTGGTTATAAACACAGAGCAGGTTAGTGTCTTCTTCTTCTGTGGTTATAAACACAGAGCAGGTTAGTGTCTTCTTCTTCTGTGGTTATAAACACAGAGCAGGTTAGTGTCTTCTTCTTCTGTGGTTATAAACACAGAGCAGGTTAGTGTCTTCTTCTTCTGTGGTTATAAACACAGAGCAGGTTAGTGTCTTCTTCTTCTGTGGTTATAAACACAGAGCAGGTTAGTGTCTTCTTCTTCTGTGGTTATAAACACAGAGCAGGTTAGTGTCTTCTTCTTCTGTGGTTATAAACACAGAGCAGGTTAGTGTCTTCTTCTTCTGTGGTTATAAACACAGAGCAGGTTAGTGTCTTCTTCTTCTGTGGTTATAAACACAGAGCAGGTTAGTGTCTTCTTCTTCTGTGGTTATAAACACACAGCAGGTTAGTGTGTTCTTCTTCTGTGGTTATAAACACAGAGCAGGTTAGTGTGTTCTTCTGTGGTTATAAACACAGAGCAGGGCCCTACTGCAGAAAGGTCACTTTATTATCCTTAAGGGGACAATTTGTTGCACAGCCAACAGTAAGTGCATAATAAATTAAAAAAAACAAACAAATAACAACACCACATACACACAAACAGTATCACAAGTGAGACAGGGAGTTCCATGACACTGTAAATGAAGTCGATGGTAACAGGGACAAATGAGTCTCTCGCAGGATCAGTGAAAACTGATTTTGAAAAAGAGGAATTCCACAGAACTGCAGGTGTGTCAGTGTTAATGAGAAATGAATCTACAACGAAACTCAGAGTTTGACTGATCCTGCTCTCTGCCATGGGGTGCTGGTGTTGCAGATTTAGCAATGACACTCTTACCTGAAAATGTGACATCTGATTTGTCTGTTTGTAGAGTCACTATCAGCTGAATAATTTGATGAAACTGTAGTGATGAGGTGAAACTTCCAGCTGACAGACAGTGTTGAACTCTAAACCAACACACACATGATAGAAACCATCAGAAACACCTGATGTGTTCTGAGCACACACTCTACAGACAGGAACACACACACACACACACACACACACACACACACACACACATCTGAGTTATGGAACATAAAACTACTCAGGCCAACACAAGGCATCATGGGAAATGTGGGCATCGCAAAAAAAACAACAAAAAAAACAACAACCCAACACATTTAGGCTGCCCCAGCTGTCTCAACACTTCTGCAGAGGGTCATATTAATAAATAGAATTAGTAAAATTGTTATTATCATTATTGAAATTATTATTACAAGAAAATATCATTAGCATTAAAATGATTAAAATGGCAGAAAAAAATAATTTAAAAAATAACCAGAAAATGTTATCAAAATATCAGGAACAAAAGGTTTATTAACTATAATTAGATACAACTTTAATTTTTTTTTTTTAAATGTCAGAAAAGATATTGATAAAATAACCCCCCAAAAATACTGATATGTCTGCAAAATAATTTTGAAGAAAATGTCCAAAACAAAAGGTAATGAAATGTCTGAAAAAATTTGATAAGATATCCAAATACTAAAAAAAAATGTTTGAAAACTATAAAATAAAAAATGGTGATTTTAAGTTCAATAAATTTTTTAAAGACGTCAAAAAAGTTGATAAAACGTCTAAAGTTAATTAAATGCCCCCCCCAAAAATTGACAAAATGTTAAAAGAAAATCAAAAAACTGTCTTACCAAAATTTCTTAGCATTGTTGATAAAATATCTGTAAAAATATTAACAGATCATCCAAAAAATGCTGACAAACATTTTTAAAATGTCTAAATAAATGTTATTGAAAAAAACATGTCATTAATTGATTAATTAAAAATTAATAATAAAATGTGTGAAAATAGAGTTGTGTGGGCACTATATCCTGCGGTGTGTCAGGTTGCTCACCTGGCATCAAATGAGAGTTTGTCTGTGTTTCCTGTTTCCTGTTTGGTGCAGAGGTCCAGCAGCAGCTGTTGGTGGTTAAAGAAGAGGTTCCCCCTGAGCAGCAGGAGTGGAGCTCCAGTGTGGACCAGGAGGACCCAGAGCCCCCACACATTAAAGAGGAAGAGGAGGAACTGTGGAGCAGTCAGGAGGGAGAGCAGCTTCAAGGGCTGGAGGAGGCTGATATCACCAAGTTCACATTCACTCCTGTCCCTGTGAAGAGTGAAGATGATGAAGAGAAACCTCAGTCTGAGGGACACCACTGTGGAGGACCAGGACCAGACAGAAACTCAGGTCCAGACTTAGAACCAGATACTAAGGACAATTTTCTGGACTTTTCTGAGACTCGAGTCAGTGTTGACGACTGGACGGAGACCAGAGAACTTCAGTCAGGTTTAAACTCTCTGAGAATCGATGAAGTTCCTTTCAGTGATTCTAGATGTAGTGTTCGTGAGAAACCGTTCAGCTGCTCTGAGTGTGGGAGAAGATTCGGCTTCAAGGGTAATCTGAAGGAGCACATGAGGAGCCACACGGGAGAGAAACCATTCAGCTGCTCAGTGTGCGGGAAAAGATTTGGCCTCAAGACCCATCTGAGGGTACACATGAGAACTCACACAGAAGAGAATCCTGCCAGCTGCTCAGTCTGGATGTAAGTTTTTAAACAAGCTTAGGACCAGCAACTGCAACAAAGTCTGCAAGCTAACTTCACAAGCACCTTAGAGCAACAAACCAGAATTAACGGTGAACTTCTGATTCTGTAAGGACAAAGAACGACTAGTTTCATCTTACCTGCACCACTGGAATACAACACAGCACAGACTGCATCGCAGTGGACTCTTCTACACCAGCTTCATCCACAACGGATGATTGCTGACTAACAAAGCAACATGCCAAAGCAGCAGCTCTCCATCCTCTTTTCATGGACTGGTAACGTAACAACGGGACAGACTGTTTCACTTCTGTCAATGTATCGAGTTCATGTTTAACAAGTTTATTGTTGTGATCTCTTTGTTGTCAGGTTATTGGGTAGTTGGCTTCTCCAAAGCTAAGTTGATGTTATTTTGCTAATGCATCACACAGACCCAGGGTCCTCCATGTAAATTAACACCCGTTTTACTGACCAGGCACTTTAATGCAACACACAGCAGACCAAGTACACCTGCGCTCTACTTTGGCTTTGAAACACTATTACACACAGAGTGGCAACTCAAAGTTCCCACTTCATGCATTTGTTTGGATCGACCACATGTGCTCAGAAAACCTGTCTCAGTGGCCATCTTTGATTTTGCCATCTTGTTGTTTTCTGTTTTCAGCCATTTTGTTTCAGCCCACTGGTGATTCTCAAAGTCAAGGATGCTTGCTTGGTAGGACGAGCCTGGAACAGGCTAGTGAGTGCCCAGGTGTTCTTCAGTGAAGATGCCCCGCCTTCAATTCTGGCAAATTGAGTGCAAAGAATCGTGGATACTTCAAGCCTGCCGAGGAAACAAATTTGTATCCTTGAAAACTCTTTGAAGGAAGGACTCAGTCCTCAGTGGAATTCGAAGGATTCTTGACATTGGAACAGTCCTTAGGCAAGATTTGATGACGCAGCCTCCTTGAAATTCAGCCGTTCAAGGATCCTTCCTTGACTTTGAGAAGCACCTAGTATGTTGCTACGTTAGCAAGCATTTGTTACATTGTGAATAAATACTTTTGGACTACACATACTATCTGTTTTAGTATTGTCCATCCATTTTTATCCACTTATCTGGGGCCGGGTCACAGGGGCAGCAGGCCAAGCAAAGTACTCCAGACATCCCTCTCCTCAGCAACACTTCCCAGCTCCTCCTGGAGGACCCTGAGGTGTTCCCAGACCAGATGAGATATGTAATCCCTCCAGTGTGTTCTGGGTCTGCCCCGGGGCCTCCTACCAGTGGGACGTGCCCAGAACACCTCTAACAGGAGACGCCCAGGAGGATCCTGATCAGATGTTGAACCACCTCAACATGAAGGAGCAGCGGCTCTACTCTGAGCTCCCTCCAGATGTCTGACTCCTCTCCCTATCTCTAAAGGCTAAAACACGCCGGCGCCGTACGACATGCGTCAAAACAGCCGCCCCCATTATTTTCTATTTACAAACCCACACTGGTGGCGGCTCGACGTGCGCCGACGTGCCGCACCGCGGCACTTTACGCCATTGTCCTATTTTTCCAGCATTGCCGCCCTTGAAAAAGCAGTTGGCAACCAGTACCGCCACCTAGCGGACTGGAGTGTGCAATAAAAATCCGTTTGACGCCGCCGGTGTGTTTTGGCCTTAAGGCTGAGCCCAGACACCTTACAGAGAAAACAGCACCAAACCGTTGATCCATCTCATGCTCCATTCTACCCTCACTGGCGAACAAGACCCTGAGATACTTGAACTGCCTCGCTTAATAATGATGATATAACAGTTTGATAATACAAGTTCACCCTTTAAAAGAGCACTTTAATTCCTAACAATATTTAGACACTGAAAATGGAATAATCAGAATCAGAATCAGAAATACTTTATTGTTCCCCGAGGGGAAATTATTTATGTTACAGGTATGTATATGAATAAGAATTTTTTAAAGTAATAAACACCTGTTCGTATACAAGATCGAAGAATGTAGTACCTTTACTTAGACTTAAAACAATATTTGACCAATAAAACAAAACTACTAACTTTAGCTTATATTGTAGTTATGCTATGTAGCGTGTGAAATAGAGTATGGTGAATGTGCTAGGAAAGGTAGTATCAACACTGTCTCTACCTGGAGCTCGCATGTATGGAGCCTGGATTTGGTTGAAGATGGCAGTGCTGTTTGGGCTGAGAAAGCCATGTGTAAGTAAGAAGGAAATCCAGGAAGAGGAAGGTTATTTAAGTGCGGGAGTGGCCTATTTGAATCCATTTTGTTTGAGGCCATGCGGCAAGGTGAGTGTGTTTGCTGATCCTGTGAGTTAATCTGTTTCCTTTAACGTTAGCTTATATTGTAGTTATGCTATGTAGCGTGTGAAAAAGAGTATGGTGAATGTGCTAGGAAAGGTAGTATCAGCACTGTAACTACCTGGAGCTCGCATAAACGGAGCCTGGGTTTGTTGAAGGTGGCAGTGCTGTTTGGGCTGAGAAAGCCATGTGTAAGTAAGGTAAAGGAGGTTATTGGGTTGGTGCGGGGAGCAGTGAGACCTGGCATTAGGGGAGTGTCTCTGGGACACCAGAGATCACTGTCTAGCCTCCTGGAGGTGTCGTGGGACCAACTAGACGAAACACTGGTGAAAGGAGGTTCCCACCCGATGACCCCAAAGACATGCTAGTTATCACTGCTCACTGGTATGTATAGTTAAGCCTTGCCATAATAGCTTATCATAGGGCTTAGGAGGTTATTCACTGAGTGCTGATCCTTTCTCTAGAGCACAAACTTCTTGTGTTTATTTGAACTACAACAGACAAGCTTAGCGAAGCTCCAGCAACACCACAGTTAGGCCGAACTCAGCCGGCCTGCAGCTGGGGACATACCCCTTGGAGCAGGGTATTTTTTTGGTGGAATAACGGAGCAGAGGATAAAGTTTCTGGAGGACAAAACTACAAATGACTTTTTGGCTTGTTGCAGAAGCTTTCAGTGCGATGTGTGTGCGGTGAGCGAGGAGTGTGATTGAAGTCACGAGTCATTGCTATTAAGGCTGAGTAGCACATCTTTTTTTTATTTTGACGAGTCACAAGTCAACCTTCACTATTGATGTGTTGATTTTGGTCATAATAATTATTTTAATTATCTATCAGAGTATATTTCATGAGACTGAGTTCATTTATATGTATTTCAGGAGGTGGTGGGCCCAAGAGATGATTTAATGTGAATGAAAGCATACTATTTAATACATTCAATTTATTAATTGCTTTTGTGGGGGCGCTGTTGAGCAATGAGGAGATAAGACATGCCTGACTGTAGCTCCTACAGAATTTGATTCAAAATTGCATTTAAAAGTAAACTTATGTAACTTTGACCCTGACATTTGAGGGATTTTGTGACTAAAATACTCCTAGCACCAGTAGTTCAGCACTAATGCCAACAACAAGAGGCAATTCAAAGACTGAGCCAAACAACGATAGAGGCCTGACCGAAGCCCCGAGCCAGAATGGAAAGGAGATTGTGGAGATGAGTGGGCAGAACGTGGACAACCAGACAGTATTAGCCGCTATAGCATTGCTACGAACTGAACTGGCAGAAGCTAGGTCAGACATCTGCAACACAATCGAGGAAAAAGGTGCTGACGTGAGTGAGACTTTGAGAGGGGGATTAACCACTCTGAAAACAGAAAGTGACAATGCCTTTACTGCCGTTAACGCCCGAGTAGACTCCCAAAACGAGACATTGAAAAGTTTTGGGGGAGTCGGCTAGCATTACCTCAGACATTGTTGTGGAACTTGAAGCTGAAGTGAAACAATTGAACGGCCAAGTTGAACAACTTTCAGAAAAGTGCTTGAATTTAGAGGGGCGATCTAAACACCAGAATCTGAGAATTGCCGGAGTTAAGAAGGGGGAAGAACATGGTCAGAAAACCAGGGAATTTGTGGTGCAGCTGTTAACTGATGTCCTGAAGCTTGATGAGAAACCAGTGATCAACTGAGCACATAGAGCACTATGGGAGCGTCCTGAGGACAACGAACCACCACGACATCTGATTCTCAGAGTGCACTACTGCCATGCCTTCAAGGACATCCTGCAAAAGGTTACAAAGACCAAGAACCTCCAGTATCAAGGCCAGCAAATTCAAATTCTCAGAGACTTTCCTCCTGCCATAGTTGAATGCAGAGCTGCTTTCACCCCAGCCAGAAATTTAGTACGAGACAAGCCCAGAGTCAAATTTGGACTCTTATACCCGGCCAAGCTGAGAGTGACACATGACGAGAACGAGACCACATTCACCAACCAAGAGGAGGCTCGTTTGTATGCAGAGCGTCATTTCGGCCAGTGAGACAACTGAGAGGAGCATTTCAATGGCAAGGTTCAACCATTTAGTATAAGAGACTGAAGGTAACAACAATTTGCCACTATGGATAGTCACCCAAAACACGCTAATCAGTGAAAAGTGTCCTATACACATCACAGGGACCAATTTCATTCTGACATATTGGTGACTGAATTCTGAATTATAACCCTTCCCTCCCTTCTGCCTCTTAATGTTTGAATCAGTTTTTGCTACGTGCCATAATGCCACATTTGAGGTTGATTTTTTTTTTTATTCTTTTTTTCCCCATTAATGGTAGACTACTAAGAATGCTGATTTTTCATGATAGTCGATAACCTTATTTCGTAAAATAAGCTTGTTTTCCTGAATGAATGGGAAATTAACCGAGACATTATTTTTCAGTTAAAGATGACGATGATAAGTCACTAATGGTGGGCACTGGGCAATAGAGCTAATCCATTGCCTGTGGGCCTAAATTTTTATGTTTATTTTACCTTGTTATGAACTACTAGGATTTTGGAGTTGATATGTTTATCCGACTTAATGGAAGACATAGAATCTTACTTTGATATCAACATAGGTTTGGTGAAGTTCTGTAGAGCTACTACTTGAGTATGCCTAAGGATCAAGATCACGACTGCTGTTGATTGCTGAAGTTGGAGTTTATTCTCTGTTCAGAGAGTTTGAAATACGCCTTACTGGTAACACTGGCAATGTTATGTTTTTTTATGTGTGTGTGTGTGTGTGTGTGCGCGTGTGTGTGTGTGTGTGTGCGTGTGTGTGTGTGTGTGTGTGTGCGGGGGCGGGGGGGTGGAGTGTTACCTGGCTCATGGTTACATTTACTTTACAAAGATGAAAGAGAGACTAGAAGTAAGCCTAGACGTCCATAAACAGCCTACTAAAAATGCACAATGAAATACAAGGGAAGAGGAGGGAGGATATAACTTTCTGTTCATGGAATGTGAATGGTATTAATGAACCAGTCAAAAGAGGTCAAGTGCTTGCACATCTTAAGTCACCCCAAGCTGATATTATTTTCTTGCAAGAGACTCACCTAAAGAATGACTCTCACACTAGACTCAGATGCAAACTGATACAACAGATAAACCACTCTAACTTTCCAGTGAAAACTAGAGGTACGGCTATTTTGATCCACAGGAGAGTTCCTTTTAAGCAGTTATCCACAACAGTGGACAAAGATGGGAGATATGTCATTGTTGTGATATATTCTACACCAATAACCCTGTCAATTTTTATGGACCCTAACCTAATACCAGATATTTACAGCACAAACCTGATCATTGTGGGTGATTTTAACTTAGTGTTGGATGCTTATTTTGACAGGCCTTCCACTCGGCTGGTGGAAGCTTCCAAAGCAAGCAACCTTCTGAAGTCATATATTGAAAATATGAACCTGTTTGATGTATGGCAGATCTCCAATGCCGCTGGCAGAGAGTACTCCTTTCATTTCAAAGTGCATAATGTGTATACTAGGATAGACTTTTTCTTAGTTGATGGCAAATTATTACCACTCACGTACAATGCAAAAATACCATGATGTCATGTTTCTGATCACAGTCCAGTGTCATTCACACCCAAGCCTAGCCAAAACATATCCACTTAAAGAAACTGGAGGCTTAATCCCCAAATTATTACAGATGTAAAATTCTGTGAATATATAGAGCTACTCATTAAATTGTTTTTTGAAACCAGTGACAATAATGACACTTCTACATCATTATGGGAAATTTTTAAGGCTTATTTGAGAGGATGCATTATCTCTTTCCAATCTGAAATGCTGTCAGACAGAATATGTAGGGCCTTTATTTTGACTAAACATAAATACTCTCAATTTGGAGACAAACCCCATATATTATTAGCTAGACAACTACGAAAAATTGAAAATGACAGGACTATCCATAAAATTAAATCAGGAACAGGTAATATACTTATTTCCCCCAAAGACACTAACGATACATTTAGACAGTTCTATGAAACCCTATATACATCTGAATTAAATACCCTACCTGACACAATGCCATCATTGCTAGATAAATGTGAACTTCCCTCATGAAACGAAGAAGAACGCAATGCCTTAGATGCCGACATTACAAGTGAGGAATTACTGGCGACCATTAAGTCACTGAAAAATGGTAAGAGCCCAGGCCCAGACGGCCTCATCAAGGGGATATAAGAAGTTTGGAGAGTTACTTGCTCCTTATCTTTGTAAAGCTGATTAGCTTTCCTGGGGTAACCCATTTCACATTTTCCATGTATGTTGAGCTCAACACATTTGTCACAATTATTGATATGGGAATGTGTGAATAAAACTTCTGTCTAAATTGTACAGTCAGTCATATGATGATGGTGTATTGCCTCTGANGTGTGTGTGTGTGTGTGTGTGCGGGGGCGGGGGGGTGGAGTGTTACCTGGCTCATGGTTACATTTACTTTACAAAGATGAAAGAGAGACTAGAAGTAAGCCTAGACGTCCATAAACAGCCTACTAAAAATGCACAATGAAATACAAGGGAAGAGGAGGGAGGATATAACTTTCTGTTCATGGAATGTGAATGGTATTAATGAACCAGTCAAAAGAGGTCAAGTGCTTGCACATCTTAAGTCACCCCAAGCTGATATTATTTTCTTGCAAGAGACTCACCTAAAGAATGACTCTCACACTAGACTCAGATGCAAACTGATACAACAGATAAACCACTCTAACTTTCCAGTGAAAACTAGAGGTACGGCTATTTTGATCCACAGGAGAGTTCCTTTTAAGCAGTTATCCACAACAGTGGACAAAGATGGGAGATATGTCATTGTTGTGATATATTCTACACCAATAACCCTGTCAATTTTTATGGACCCTAACCTAATACCAGATATTTACAGCACAAACCTGATCATTGTGGGTGATTTTAACTTAGTGTTGGATGCTTATTTTGACAGGCCTTCCACTCGGCTGGTGGAAGCTTCCAAAGCAAGCAACCTTCTGAAGTCATATATTGAAAATATGAACCTGTTTGATGTATGGCAGATCTCCAATGCCGCTGGCAGAGAGTACTCCTTTCATTTCAAAGTGCATAATGTGTATACTAGGATAGACTTTTTCTTAGTTGATGGCAAATTATTACCACTCACGTACAATGCAAAAATACCATGATGTCATGTTTCTGATCACAGTCCAGTGTCATTCACACCCAAGCCTAGCCAAAACATATCCACTTAAAGAAACTGGAGGCTTAATCCCCAAATTATTACAGATGTAAAATTCTGTGAATATATAGAGCTACTCATTAAATTGTTTTTTGAAACCAGTGACAATAATGACACTTCTACATCATTATGGGAAATTTTTAAGGCTTATTTGAGAGGATGCATTATCTCTTTCCAATCTGAAATGCTGTCAGACAGAATATGTAGGGCCTTTATTTTGACTAAACATAAATACTCTCAATTTGGAGACAAACCCCATATATTATTAGCTAGACAACTACGAAAAATTGAAAATGACAGGACTATCCATAAAATTAAATCAGGAACAGGTAATATACTTATTTCCCCCAAAGACACTAACGATACATTTAGACAGTTCTATGAAACCCTATATACATCTGAATTAAATACCCTACCTGACACAATGCCATCATTGCTAGATAAATGTGAACTTCCCTCATGAAACGAAGAAGAACGCAATGCCTTAGATGCCGACATTACAAGTGAGGAATTACTGGCGACCATTAAGTCACTGAAAAATGGTAAGAGCCCAGGCCCAGACGGCCTCATCAAGGGGATATAAGAAGTTTGGAGAGTTACTTGCTCCTTATCTTTGTAAAGCTGATTAGCTTTCCTGGGGTAACCCATTTCACATTTTCCATGTATGTTGAGCTCAACACATTTGTCACAATTATTGATATGGGAATGTGTGAATAAAACTTCTGTCTAAATTGTACAGTCAGTCATATGATGATGGTGTATTGCCTCTGACACTGACTGAGGCCACCATTACCCTGCTTCCTAAAAAAGGAAAAGACCTAAAGGAGGTGGGCTCATATAGGCCAATTTCATTATTGAATACAGATCAAAAAATTCTGGTTGAGACATTAGCCAGAAGACTTAACGCCTATATGAGTAAACTAATTCACCCTGACCAAACTGGGTTTATTCCTAAAAGAGACTCTTTCCTTAACTTTAGATGTCTCTTTAATATTATGCCCCGTGCTAGGATACTTACTAACCAGACCCTTTACAAATATTAAATTAGCCAGTTCCTAAGCAAGTTTTAAAACCAAACTAAAAAGCTGGATGATGAGTAATCTATCCTAATTACAAATCAGCCATGATAGTATAGAGTTTAGCTAAATCATATATTTTTGATATGCTATTCCTTAATATGTCTTCTCTCTATGCTGTGATGTCTATGTATTGGCTGTTGTATTGTAATGTCTTTGTCACATATATTGGCTGTTGTACTGTCTTTGTTTCCTGTCCATATATGTTCTATGTCCAAAGGACCACAATGGAAACAAGCTTTCGGGCTTTATTGTGTTTTTATCCTTTTGGTTTTACCAATAAAAAGTTCAACCAATCAATCAAAACAGCAAGGAACAGCATTTCAAAATAAAAGCTATGATTGGGAAATTAGCTGTACTTCAAAATAAGGTGTGCGTCTTACAAACATGAAACATTCACACATCATCTGCGGTCCATTCTGTTGCAGTTCATTTTCGATTCATGACCCACCAGATGGGAACCACTGGTTTAGAAGACAAAGGTTAGGTTAACGAAAAAACAAAAAGGAAGAGGATCGAGGATTGATCCTTGTGGGACACCACACAAAATGGTTGCTTTACGGTTAGGGGTACTTTTCAGTAGATACTGTTTTCTGTTTTTAAACTGCTCACATACCATAGACGAACCTTAAAAGCCACAGGAACTACATTTTTTAAAAATGAAAAAAAAGAGGACCAAGGATGGACCCTTGTGGGATGCCATGGGAACTTTACTTGGCAAGTAAAATTTTATGACTAACTGGATCAGACAGACATGAAAAACAGGATGCGTGTGGGGTTCAGGTTAATTTGGTTTGATCTGATTCTTTGAGTAAAAACCTGCCACAAACACAACGATTAAACTGTTTCTATCCTGTTTGAGTTCCCGAGTGTCCCTTTGGATTTCCACAGACCCCAAATCTTTTCCCGCACTCAGAGCAGCCCATGTGAACCTTCATGTGTTTTCGTAAATGTCCACTCTGAGTGAACGACTTCTTACAGAGTGAGCAGGTGAATGGTTTCTCTCCTGTGTGAGATCTCATGTGTCTCTTCAGAGATTCATTTAGACCAAATCCCTTCCCACACTCGGAGCAGCTGAAGAGTTTCTCACCAGACTGAGGTTCTCTGTTCTCCTCATTCTGAGGAAGCTGTGACGACTGACTGCCAACGCACCGGTGGATCCTCAGCTGGTAGTGCCGAGTGTATCTCTGGTCACAGACTCTGCACCTGAACCTCTTCTCTCCGGTGTGAGTGATCATGTGGATCTTAAGGTACGTGTTTCGCCCGAATGTTTTCCGCACTCAGAGCAGCTGAATGGTCTTTCTCCCATGTGGGTTCTCATGTGTCTTTGTAAACATTCACTCCATGCAAACGACCTCTTACAAATGGAGCAGCTGAACGGTTTCTCTCCGGTATGAGTCCTCGTGTTTCTGTAAGCTTCCATTCTCAGTAAAACATTTCTTACAGAGGGAGCAACTAAATGGTTTCTCTCCTGTGTGTGTCCTCATATGTGTCTTCAGACGCGCCTTGCGGGTGAATTTCCGTCCACACTCGGAGCAGCTGAACGGTTTCTCTCCTGTGTGAGTTATCATGTTCTTGGAGGTGTGTCTTGCGGCCAAATCTTTTCCTGGAGTCGGAGCAGTTGAATCTTTTCTCACAAAGTCTACGTCTTGAGTCCCCGACAGAAAGTTCATCGGATTTCGGAGAGTTAAAATCTGACTGAGGTTCTCTGGTCTCGTCCCAATCACCGCTGTCATCAGTGTCGGGTTCGGAAGAGACTCCATTCTTGTCCTCATTATCAGGTTGTAAATCTGGATCAGAGTCTGCGGGCACCTCCGGTTCCTCCTGTTCCTCTTTAATGTGTGGGGGCTCTGGGTCCTCCTGTTCCACACTGGAGCTCCACTCCTGCTGCTCAGGGGGAACCTCTTCTTTAACCACCAACAGCTGCTGCTGGACCTCTGCACCAAACAGGAAACAGGAAACACATAGAGAGATGTTACAGACAAATGTTGTTTGTCAGGTTTGCTTCACAGAGTATGTTGCAATAGTAACTGACTCAGGGTTTCGCTGAACTGGCTTTGTGAAGCGGAAAAGTCAGAGTTTCATCTCAGGCTGAACAAACTCAGAGTTTGACTGATCCTGCTCTCTGGAATAGGACTCTGAAGGGTACTCCAGGTAGGAGGTTCAACAAACTCTGAGTATCCGGTTTCAGAACAGCTGATTCTAATTAGTTCAGTCAACTCTGAGTAGGTACACCTTGAGTTAAGCACGTACACAACCACAATAAAAAGCCATCATCAATGGAGCCCTGATACCTCGAGTCACCATGGCAACCAAAGAGAAAAAGTGATCAACTCATTTTACACCTGTGGAATTGGAGGTGCTCATGAATGCCTACAGTGAATATGAGCATATATTTCATAAACAAAGTAACAGCACTAAAGCTGCCAAGGAGAGAAAGGCAGCATGGGAGAAAACTGCTGCCCGAGTCAACGCGTACGTTTGAATGCACCAGTTCATTAATTTACATTTAACCACACTTAATTAAATTCGTAGCTTACAGGTGAAAAAGTGGTTTTGAATAAAATCTGATGTTCATGTAGGTTCAATCTCACAGGGGAAAAACACACTTGGCTCAGCTTCAAATGAAATATAAAAACATCATTCAAACAGGTAAGACATATTTGACTTGGCCATGACTATTTGATTTATTAAACAAAGTAGCTTCAATAACCTCTCATTCAGTGGCTATGTCATTATGTACTGTAGGTCACTAGTAATTTAAACCCCCCCAAAAATACTGTTTCAACTTGTGTGTCCTCTTGCCTAATATCCTGCTGAGTAACATTTGAGTTCTACTCAGCCAACAGAAAGAAGGCAGAGGCCGCAAATCATCACCAATATCATATAAAAAGCTACTGTTCACAAAAAAACATTTGCTCTGATGGGAGCGCACGTCTGCCTCGATATTGATCAGATTTCTTACATACCAACAACCCATGTGTGTCTGCCAGCTTGCTTCAGGCTCAGCAGTAGGGAGGAGACAGGGTGAACTCAGGGTTTCTTATAGAAAACCTGCCAGCGATCAGGTTAGGTTCACAGAGTCAGTTGCCATGGTGATTGACTCAGAGTTTGACTTACCTCTCTGTCTGGAACTGAAAACCCAGAGTTTCCCTCATCTCAGGGTTAACACACTCAGAGTTTTCACTGAACCCGCTTTCTGGAATACCCCTCTGCTCTGTGTTTATAACCACAGAAGAAGACACTAACCTGCTCTGTGTTTATAACCACAGAAGAAGACGCTAACCTGCTCTGTGTTTATAACCACAGAAGAAGACACTAACCTGCTCTGTGTTTATAACCACAGAAGAAGAAGACACTAACCTGCTCTGTGTTTATAACCACAGAAGAAGAAGACACTAACCTGCTCTGTGTATAACCACAGAAGAAGAAGACACTAACCTGCTCTGTGTTTATAACCACAGAAGAAGAAGACACTAACCTGCTCTGTGTTTATAACCACAGAAGAAGAAAACACTAACCTGCTCTGTGTAACCTGAGCTGAGGGTTGTAAACAGCGTCCAGTAGTTTCCGTTGTCGCTCGTTCTCCTCTTTTGAGCGACAAAGTTGCTCCTCGTACTCTGCTATCGTTCTTTCAAACAGCCCAAATATCTCTTCAGCAGCCGCAGTTAGTCGCTGCTTCACCAACGCTCTCAGCATTTGGACTTTACACATCTTCACACTTTAAAAACACAACAAAGACACTCTGCTAACAGACGTTTCTGCTCGACGCCATCTTCTTCAAACACTGTCAAATTAGCAACAGAAAAGAATAGAGCTTCCGGGGCAGCTCAACTGCTATCCTTCAAAATAAAAGTCCAGATTACAGGTTTAACCAGAGAAACACGCAGGAAGTAAGGGAATTAAATGTTTGTAAATGTAATTTTTAAATGTATGTATCAAACATGATAATGAAGGTTTTTAATTTTACTTTTGAAATCATTATTGTTTTGAATTTCATAAAAAAAAAATCCTTTCATAAAAAAAAAATCAGTTTCAATGTCCTATCAACATTTGACATGATACATAATATTTTGCACGTAGACTGGATATAAAGAGACATTTACGCTCTGTGGTTTGGGAAATTAAGTTTCAGAATTTATTTGTTGAATTTTCGGTTACATTTTTAACGTGCATGAATATGATTATAACTATAACAATACAACATCAAACACAGTCTAACACTACGATCTATTAGAAACACTAATATTAATGGGGACCTCCTCAGAGGACCACCGGTGGGTCCAGAGGACTCACAATGTCAACACTCCGTACAAGACTGAGTTCATCCGGTGTCGCTACATGAGGAGGCTTGATGTTAAACTGTCATTTCAAATGGTTTGACTGGCTGACATTTCAGTGTGACACAAAGAATGTGACCTTAAAGTGGAGATGAAATACTGAATAAAGACTGTGGTTTGTTGGAATTTTACTTTCGCCCCGGGCTTTGACCCGGAAGTCCAATAGCATTAAATGTGTAAGAGAAGAAGAAGCCAGTAACAACATGGAGAAATCTACATCCAGAGCCGTGACTTTTTGGACAGACCAAATGTACAGAGCTGTAAAGTTGTCCACCAAGGTAACAGTTAGCTGCTAGCTAACCGTAGCTAACTTGTTTGTCCATTGTTTGGTCTGTGACGTAATAAGTCAACAGGAAAAAGGTCCAATACTAACAAGCTGAAAGGGGGCATAACTCCACCTATCGTAGAGGAGTCGCACATACCTCAATGTCCAGAATACTTTGATTCTATTCCCAACAGCTAGCTTGTTGTGAGATGGCTGCACCCTGCTGGAGAAATGGTGGAATACACTCTAGTTTTCTCGACAATCTAGGTGATCAAGTTTGATGACATTATTTGGGTAGAACTAGGAATATACCCTTCCCAGGCATTTGGGCATAAGCAAACTGCTAGGGCTTGCTTTCTTGACTCCCATGTTCAACGTTCCTGCCACCACCTAGCAGCATATGCCAACAGTCCAGACCAGAAATATATTGGTACTTTGCAAAAGGTGAAGGCCACGCCTCTTTTTGGGGGGATAGAAATCCAAACGTCTGATCAACAGTCACGAATTGCATGCCTGAAGAGAAATTTTTCTACCCCCCTACCCAAAATATAAAAAATTATGTATTTTCAGGATTCGCTTGGGTCTCATTTTCTTGTCGGGCAGCCTGGAGCTCCGGATAAATATCGTAAAATACGCAACCCACTCTCATGTGTCTGTCAACGTCTCCTCTAAATCGATACCTCCTCTGACAGACTGGACAGCTGAAGGGTTTGTCTTCTGGGTGACGCCTCATGTGACGAATCAACTTTGGCTTTGTCGAAAACCTTTTACTGCAAATGATGCAACTGAAAGGTTTCTCTCCCATGTGGATCAACATGTGGACCTTGAGATTCGTCTTGTTGTTAAAAGTTTTCCCGCACTCAGAGCAGGAACATACGGTCTTGTCAACATAGTACCTCCAATCTCTAAAAGGAAGTTTGGCACTTTCTGGAGGGCACTCAGGTTTTCTGGTTTCTGTCCAATCACAGCTGTCGTCAGTCTCAGGTTCAGAAGAGTCTCTGTTCTTGTCTTCAGTATCTGGTTTTACATTTGGATTTGGATCTGAATTTATGGCTGGTTCTGGTCCTCCACAATCCTCTTCATCAGTTTCTGTTTCCATCTCTTCAGTCAGAGTTTCCTCCAGCTCTTGAAGCTGCTCCTTCGCATCTGGATCTGAGTCCCTGGATGGCCCTGGCTGTCCACAGTCTTCTCCATCAGCTTCAGAAGAGTCTCCGGGCACTGGTCCTGGTCCTCCACAGTGGTGTCCCTCAGACTGAGGTTACTCTTCATCATCTTCACTCTTCACAGGGACAGGAGTGAATGTGAACTTGGTGATATCAGCCTCCTCCAGCCCTTGAAGCTGCTCTCCCTCCTGACTGCTCCACAGTTCCTCCTCTTCCTCTTTAATGTGTGGGGGCTCTGGGTCCTCCTGGTCCACACTGGAGCTCCACTCCTGCTGCTCAGGGGGAACCTCTTCTTTAACCACCAACAGCTGCTGCTGGACCTCTGCACCAAACAGGAAACAGGAAACAGAAAACACACAGAGAGACATTACAGACAAATATTGTCATTTGTTCAAATCACAGCTTAAGAACTCATTGTCGAACTTCTACAGATCACTTGATGAAGTTTATAGTGAGGGCTGGCTCATATAGTTGGCTCTAATGTAGGGATGCACCGAAATGAAAATTTGTGGCCGAAGCCAAAGCCGAATAAAATTAAACGCTTGGCCGAATACCGAGTACCATATACCGAATGCCATTGTTTAGTTTTTCATTAGTTTCTGCAGATGAACCCTCCAGATTAGTGTTGTTACGGTACCAAAATTGGGAAACACGGTACGATACCAGTGAAAGTATCATGGTTCTGAGTAGTATCACGATACCACAGCGAAAATGAGGCAGATGTGCCTTTTGTCATTTATGAAAAGATAAATCACTTTTCTATAATACATCAATGATATTTCAATGGAATAAATTACTTATTGACTTATTCATACTTCAAAAACAGCATCAATAAGTGATTAACATAGGGGGGATAAAAATAAAATAAATAAATAAAATAAAAATCAATCAGCCACCCTCCTCCCCTGACAAGTAAAGAACAGTCCCTTCATAAGTAACGAACAGTCCCCAAAGTGCGGTGAGGTTTGTGGACCGTTACCTGACACAAAGAGAGAAATGTGAATGGCTCGTTTCTCCTCTGACACGTCACATACCTGTGTGCCGCCACGACTCGGCTGTTCAGGTACTTCTGGGCAGTCATGATGCCAAGAAGAGGACATTATCGGAGGCGGACTTCTCCGTTGTGGTAAGCCTATGGCCGCCGTATTTGACAGGAATACGTATTCCTGTCTGTGTCTGTGACCCCCGTTCAACCCACAACCAGCGGGATTCGCCTTTAGTTTCTGCTGCTGGTTGAAATCTGTACTCGCACAGCGTGCTGAATGATTTATTTTGCTCAAACAAAACTATTTTTAGTTGCAAATGCGAGTGCGGTGACGGACGGAGTAAAATATCGCCACACTGCCGACATTTTACTCTGTCTGTCACCTGTTTGATTGCGTTATCAAAACACACCGCTATTATTCGGCCTTGCTTTTCACTTATTCCACCGAATGTGTTTTTTTGCAATATTCGGCCGAATATTCAGTTATAAGATGTATAAAAAAAGTTGATATTTTTAATTTAGAGCTCCTTTAAAAAACAGTATGGTAGAAAAACTTCTGATACTTTGTAAATGAAATTCATATAATGTGCAAGACAACGCACTGATGATTTCGTATATCAAAGGGAGAGACAGGGGAGAATGCATTGCTGAAAAACGGGTCTCTGGCACTTCTGGCTGTTTTCACCATCCGCACCGTAATACCACGAATAGACACGCATTGAAAATCCATGGCGCAGCTGGCTTGACGACGGCTCACAAATGATGGCTCACTTGACCGCAGTAGTTGAGGGGACAGGTCAAACTGATATGATGCTGATTTACAGGAGAGTTCATGTCAAATTAAACCATGAATATAAACTACAGATCACCTGTAAAGCATTTTAATAAATTAATCTATCATAATTAAAACAACTGGAGACTGAAAACAAACTGATATATGAGTCTGATAATATTTTTTATGAATTGACATCATTCCAGACAGGATGTGAGTGTGTCTGTGACTTCCTGTACAGACTGAAGGCTGCTGGAAACTGTCGGGAAACTGTCCGACTTTTTTTTTTGTTTGTTTTTTTAAATCTTTATTAACAAACATAAAAGTGCAATGACAACTGTCAGGGGGTTACATACAATATGAGGCAACATTCCAGAATATCGTATTATATAAACACATTAAAAAGAGCACATAAATCAAAAGTCTTAATAGCTTTCATGTTAGTGGAATGTCTGATAGTTTTAATATATTGTTTGACCCCATTTACAAAGACGGAAAGGAGTGGTTTTTGATTGGTGTATTGGCTTTATGGATATGCCATTTGGCTAATAGTATAATAAGATTAATGATATAAAATTGTTTTGTTTTTTTTCCACAGATGGACAGTCAGTGAAGCCAAACAATATATGTTCAAAGCAAAAAGGAAAATGTGGTTCTATACAAGTAGAAATCAAGTTGCAAATATCTTCCCATATTTGGTAGAGAAAGGGCAAGACCAAAATAAATGAAAAACATCTTCAGAGTCTCCGTCACAGAAAGAGCAATTGACACCTATATCTTTTTTGAATTGTTGTAAGAAAACTTTAGATGGGTAAAATCTGTGAATTATTATAAAAGATATTTCTTTTACTTTATTATTTATCATATATATAGCAGTTAAGTTCCAAATCTTTTTCCAGTCAAGGTTATTGACAAAGTTGTTCCAATAAGCTACCACATATGGAAGTGATACGACTTCTTTCTGAAATAATGAATGTATACGACGATTACTATTGCGTGTTGAAGAGAAACAAATTTGACCAATTTCAAGTTTGGTTGGATCAATGGATAATACTGTTGGATACTGTCCTGCCATACTTTTAAATAACATAATTACTCCAGCATTTATAACAATATTAAATTCACTAATAGGGATTACAACTCTGTATTTTGACATAAATTCTTGATATGTCATTAATGATTTGAATTTAACAACTGACGAACCAAAAGTACATTGTGAGTAAACCAATATGGGTAAAATAAGGATTTGTTTCTATATACGATGTCTTTATTGTTCCATATGTAGTACCTATGCGGGGAAAAATTATGTTTATAAATCAATGACCAAGAAAGAAGCATCTGTTTATGAAAGTTGGATAGTTTTGAGGGGACTTTTTCAACATTATAATTGCAAAATAAGAGGAAATTTAGGCCTCCTAATTTAGAAAAAAATAAAATTTGGTATGAAGTTCCAAATTGAAGATGGGTTCTTGAAGAAATGTCTTAGCCAATTTATTTTGAATGTATTGTTTAAAGTATAAAAATCTAAAAAATTAAGGCCACCATTATCATATGAGTATATAATTACTGATTTTTTAATAAAGTGATTTTTGTTCCTCCATATAAAGTTAAATATGAACTTCAATTGGCAGGAGGTTTATGTAAACGATACTAATCAATCATATGATGCATTTCTAGATACATTTTTGTTATTTTATGACCGCCATTGTCCATTGAAAGAATATAGACAAAATCCCAAAAAGAAGGGAAAACCATGGTTTACAGAAGGGTTGGAAAAAGCTTGTAAAAAGAAAAATAGGCTCTATAGGGAATTTGTCAAATACAGAACAAAGGAAAAGGAGGACAAGTACAAAAAATATAAAAATAAATTGACATCTATTATGAGATTGTGCAAAAAAGACTATTATGATCAATTGCTGCAAAAACACAAAAATAACAATAAAGCTACCTGGAGTGTGCTTAATTGTATGATTAAAAACCATAGTAAAAATGATTTTCCAACATATTTTGTAAATGATGACAATTCAATTATTGAAAATGCAGAGGAAATTGCTGGTGAGTTTAATGATTTTTTTGTTAATGTGGGCCCAAATTTAGCAAGGGAAATTAGAGATGTAGACCATAATTATGATTTTGCATTCAATAGTAACAATTCAATGTTCCTAGGCGGAATTTGTGAGAGTGATGTATTAGAAGTGGTCCGAAAGTTTAAGAATAAAAAATCCACAGATGATAATACTATTGATATGTCACTTATAAAAGAAGTAATGGAATGTGTCCTCAAACCATTTACCTATATATGTAATAAATCCTTTCAAACAGGTATTTTTCCTGATAAGATGAAAATGGCTAAGGTGGTTCCAGTTTATAAAAATGGTGACAAGCACATTATATCAAATTATAGACCTGTGTCATTGCTACCTCAGTTTTCAAAAATACTTGAAAAATTGTTTGTAAATAGACTGGATGATTTTATGGATAAATATGAGTTATTGAGTGACCATCAATATGGGTTTAGGAGCAACCGATCAACATCTTTAGCAGTGATGAAATTTGTAGAAAATATTGCAACAGCTATGGATAAGAAACAATATGCTGTAGGTGTTTTTGTTGATTTATGTAAAGCGTTTGACACAATTAATCATTCCTTACTTCTGCAGAAATTGGAGCGTTATATAAGAGGTGTTACACTAAACTGGATAAGAAGTTATTTAAATAATAGGTTTCAGTATGTAAAAATTAATAATACTGCGTCACATTTTAGAAAAGTAACTTGTGGTGTTCCACAAGGTTCGGTATTGGGACCTAAGTTATTTATACTTTATTTGAATGATATTTGTACTGTATTTAATAAGTTGAAATTTATTACATTTGCGGATGATACAAATTTATTTTGTTCAGGACCAGACATTAAAGAATTATTGACAACTGTAGAAAAGGAGATGATCATGTTAAAAGAATGGTTTGATATCAATAAGTTGTAATTAAATGAAAATAAAACAAAATTTATGGTCTTTGGTGGTGTTGGGCCTAATTGTGAAATGAAATTAATCCTAAATGGAGTTGAAATTGAAAGAGTTAATGAAACTAAATTATTGGGAATAATTTTAGATCATAAATTCAATTGGAAGCCACATAAAGAATATATTAAACAGAAATTATCTAAATCTATTGGTATTATTTATAAAACTAGGGATTTGTTGAACAAGGAATATCTGCATATATTATATTTTTCACTTATAATGCCATATATGTCATATTGTGTTGAGGCTTGGGGAAATACATACAGAACATATATAGACACTATAATTAAACTCCAGAAAAGAGTTATCAGAATAATAAATAAAGCTTCCTATCGTGAAACCACTAACAAATTATTTATAGAGTCTCGCATCTTAAAATTCTTAGATATTGTATACTTGAAAACATTGGAAATACTATTTCGAGGAAAGAATAAGTCTTCCCACCTGTATTCAACAATTTTTTAAATTAAAAGAAAAAATATATAATTTCAGAGAGTTGGGTGTCTTTGAAATTAGTAATGTGAGAACTAATGTTAAATACAGATGTGTTTCATTTTTGGGAGTTAAATTATGGAATGGGGTTAGTGATGAGTTGAAATTGTGTAGATCTCTGTTGAGTTTCAAAAAACATTGAAAGGTAAAATAATTAAGGATTACAATGTAAAATGACTGAATTGTGAAATGATTAAGAAGAAGAATTTAGAGTAAATTTTGTTGTGTTTTTTTCTTTGTATTACTGATATTCTGGGTTATCTTATGGATTGTACAGGATAGGCAAAAATAAGCCTTGGCTTCAGCCTATTCCTTTTTCGGTTGCAGAGCTTGTTAAATTTTGTTGTGAGAAAATGTGTAGTGCAAATATGTATGTAAATGTTTTGTCAGTTGATTGCACACAATTTAAGTATTGTATATTGTAACCGAAATAAACTATTCATTCATTCATTAAATAACATCTTGTCAATATCTTTTGAGACCTTTTTGTTAACATCAAGAGATAAAGCAGCATATATGAGGTGGGATATTCCTTCAGCTTTGGTTAGTAGAATTCTACCTCTCAATGACAAATCCTTCTGCAGCCATTGGTTCAATTTTTTCTGTGTTTTGTCAATAATTAAGTCAAAATTCAAGTTGCACCTGGCTTCTCCATCTTTAGTGATAACGATTCCTAAGTAAGTAAAAGAGTCTTTTACAGGTATATTACAAATAGAAGGGATGTCACAATATTTAGGAGCAAGCAATTCACATTTTTTCATGTTCAAGCAAAGTCCAGAGGCAGTAGAGAAAGTATTTATCCAATCAATAGATAAAGGTATCTCAGAGAGATCTTTTAAAAATAATGTTGTATCATCAGCCAGCTGGCTGATGATAACTTCGTTGCCCGCTATTGAGATACCTTTTAGTGGACTAAGCTTTACAGAGTCAGTGAGTAGCTGAGTGCAGAGCAAAAAAAGATGAGGTGATATTGGACATTCCTGCCTGACCCTGCGTTTAAGGAAGAAACAAGGAGAAGTATGACCATGCAATTTGATTGAGCAGTTTCCATTTGTTCTGATAGCATTGTTAAAATATGAACCAAAACCAAACTTTTCTAAGGCATGAAATATGAATTTATGTTCAGTTGTGTCGAAAGCCTCGTAACAATCTAAAAAAAGAATAAAACTTTCATCAGAGTATAAATCTGAATAATCAATTAAGTCAAGTACTAATCTGATATTGTTGGAAATATGTCTATTGCTCATGAAGCCGGATTGAGCCTCGTCAATTATGCAATCCATAACAGTTTTTATTCTTTTAGCAAATATCGGTGCAAATATTTTGTAATCAGTATTAAGTAGGCAGATTGGGTGCCAGTTGTCAATGAGAAGTAAATCTTTCTTTGGTTTTGGTATTAGAGTTATGAGGCCTTGAGTTAAGGTGGGAGGAAGGGATTCATTGCCTTTACATTCTAAGAAAAGACCAAGGAGGAAAGGTGCAAGCTGTTTGGAGAATGCTTTATAGAATTCAGAAATAATACCGTCTGTGCCTGGAGACTTATTAGGCTTGAGGTGTTCAATAGCAAATTCAACTTCCTGTAGTGTTAGGGGTTTGTCACATAAGTCTTTCACATCAGTGTCAATTAACTTAGTTTCTATAAGAGACCCCAAAAATTGACTGGTAGATTCTTCACTTTATTTTGATTCATATAATTTGGTATAAAAATCTGAACAATATACAGCTATTTTCTGAGGGTCAATGTCAATGTCAATTTTATTTATATAGCACAATTCATTACAAGTAAACTCAAAGTGCTTTACGTTAAAAAAAAAAAAAAATATCACACAACATTAAAATCCAGAAAAACATCAACACAAGAAGCCCCTGCCCTGTCACATAGCCGCACATGTAAGAAGTGCAGCCATATGATTAGGACCCCGCCCCCGGCCTGACCGGGTTGTATGCAGTGAGCAAATCAGAGATGTACTGAGAAGCCAAACCATTAAGTGCTTTATAGACTATTAGCAGGATTTTGAAGGAGATTCTGTGCTGTACATGGAGCCAATGAAGTGATTTCAGTATTGGAGTAATATGATCAAATGTACGTGTACATGTGAGGATTCGGGCTGCTGCGTTTTGAATGAGCTGGAGGCGTCCTACTGATTGTTTGGATAATCCTGTGAATAGAGCGTTGCAATAGTCTAATCTGCTTGAGATGAAGGCATGAACCAGTTTCTGAGAGTCAGTTTGAGTCATATATTCTCAAAGTTTTGATATATTCTTCAGGTGGTAGAATGCTGTCCTGTCTTGTCTTTGACTTTTTGGACCAACTAGGAAAATCTCAGTCTTGTCTGTATTCAGCTGTAAGAAATTCGTAGACATCCAGTGAGTAATATCATTAATACAATTAATTAATCTGTTGATAGGACTGAGATCATCGGAGGAAAGTGAAATGTATAACTGTGTATCATCAGCATAAGAATGGTAGGAAATATTATGTTTCTTTATGATAAAACCAAGCAGGAGCATGTACAAATTGAAGAGCAGTGGCCCAATAACTGACCCTTGTGGGACCCCAGAGAAGATGTTTGATTTGTTTGATGTAAAACTACCAGTTGTGACAGAGAAGCTCCTGTCCTTCAAGTAGGATGAGAACCAGTTCAGGACAGGATCTGCTAAACCAACGGAGACATGAAGTCTCTGAATTAGGATGTCATGATCCACAGTGTTGAATGCAGCAGTGAGATCAAGCATTACCAGGATTGAGGTTCTCTGAGAGGTCGCTGTGGATCTTAAGGTCATTGATAACCTTTACAAGAGCAGTTCCAGTGCTGTGATTGACTCTGAAACCTGATTGGTGTGTATCGTACATGTTGTTTGTTGAAAGATAATCATCCAGTTGTTTGTAAACAATTTTTTCAAGAATTTTGCTGAGGAAATTAAGTATTATATATTGGTCTATAGTTATAGTTGGTCTATAGTTATTAATTCTAGATGGATCCTAGATGGATCTAGGTTGTTTTTCTTTAACACAGGTGATATTACAGCATGCTTGAGAGAAGCAGGGAAAGTGCCAGGCTGCAGGAAGCTATTAATGATATTTTCAACACTATTTATAAAGACAATGAGAGACAGATTTGAAGAGTTTGGTAGGGATGGAATCAAGAGAGCAAGTGCTAGATTTCAGGTGCTAAATGACCTCGAGCAGATCACTGCAGTTAACAGGTGAGAATGAAGACATAGAGCTCGTGGAAGTAATTTGATGCGAGGGTGAGCCGGAGCCAGATGAAGAATTTGATATGTAATTTCTAATATGTAAGATTTTTTCTGAAAGAAAACAGCAAATTCATTACATTTGGTTGTGGAGAGAAACTCGAGAGGGGTAGATTTGGATGGATTAATTAGTTTATCAACTGAGGAGAATAGAAATGAGACATTATTATGATTATTGGTCATCAGCTGAGAAATGTAGGACTGTCTGGCAGATTTCATGTCTTCATTGTAACTGTAAAGTGCAGTTTTATAGATCTCAAAATCAATTTGTAATTTGTTTTTTCTCGATTTCCGTTCAGCTCTCTGGCAGATTCTTTTTGCCATCTTAACTTTTTCATTGCTTCTCCAAGGTGCTTTTGGTGGTCCACGAATTTTTACAGTTCTGACAGGAGCAATGTGGTCAAAAATCTGAGACATAAGATTAGAAAAATTGTCTACCATAGCCTCACATGACCGCAAGGTGGGTAATGTATACTTTGAAAACTCATTAATAAAAGTGTTAGTTGTATCAGCATTGATGAAACGTTTGTTAATGTATCTATCAGTAGCTGTCTGTTCAACGGGGCATGCTACATCAAAGAAAATACAGTAATGGTCAGATATTGCAACATCTAAAACATCTGTTATTGCAATATCAAGACCTTTTGAAAAGACAAGATAACTGCAAGACTGTGCAATATATTTTTGCTAGGTCATGTGCAATACTCGATTGCTGCACAAACCACTTTTTCTTTGCTGGGTCATGTGCAAAAAAATCGGATGGACTATCCAGATACCATCTAAGCACTGAAACTGTCCTTATATGTTCTTATGTCTTGTCTTAAATGCTGTTTATAATTCAAATGTTAATGTTGTTTGTACTCTAAATTGTGAGCTGCAGCTGCCTTGCTGTCCAAGACAAATTTCCTCTCTGAGGACAATAAAGTTATTCTGATTCCGAAGGTCAAGTGTATGACCTTTAGTATGGGAAGAGCCAGTGACATGTTGTCTAAAATCAAATGACTCTGATAAAGTGATTAATTGTTTTGCTTCTGAGTTGCTACCGTTATCAGCGTGAATACTGAAGTCACCTGAAACAATAATGCAGTCAAAAGCAATAGTGATTTTAGACAACAGTTCACCAAATTCTTCTAAAAAAAACCCTGTTTCAGTTTAGGAGGATGGTAGACAGTGGGAAGTAGTGCAACAGGAGATACTGATTGAATAATTAGCCCTAAGTATTCAAAACTCGGGAAATTGCCAAAAGACACAGATTTACACTTAAATAGGTCATTATATATGACAGCAACCCCCCCTCCCTTTCTATTGATCCATGTGCAATGTACAAAGTTGTAGTTACCAGGAGATGTTTCAATAAGTTCCGTATTACCAGTTTAAAGAAGCCAGGTTTCTGTTAGTAGGATATAGTCCAGTTTATGAGAAGTGATGATGTCATTAACTAAGAAAGTCTTTTTAGCTAGAGATCTAACATTAAGCAGTGCAAGTTTAAGCGTGCAGGGAGAGATTTGGCAGGTTCAGATAGAGCAGGTTTGACATGTACAAGACAGCTAGATCTCTGAGATTTTCTCATTTGCTTGTTATTGGACTTTAGTATATTGTTAATGACTACTGCAATATGAGATGTAGGTGCATGACTTACAGTACGTCAAAGGATGAAGGCTTTGCAGGAGCGCAGTGTGAGTTCAATGTTTGTAGATAACAGATGAGATCCAGTGTTGTTTGGATGGAGGCGGTCATGTTTAAAGAGTTCAGCCCTGTTGTAGAAGGTGGTGAAATTGTCCACATAGGGGATGCCTCTGCTGCAGCAGAATCCCTTAAGCCAGATGTGTAGTTGTCTGAGTCAGCTGAACTTTACGTCCCCAAAGTGGGGGGATGGCAGTGGGCCTGAAATGATGCACTGTTTGTTGGTGTTCAAAACACTGTCAATGAGGGAGACAAAATCCACTTTAAGTTTCTCAGACATCTGCTGCTTCAGGTCATTTGAGCCCGCGTGCACCACGACCGTGGAGACAGACGGGCGCTGACGTAGCTGCTGTAAGGCAGAGGTGTTAATATCCTTAACGAGGGCACCTGGGTGGCAAGAGGTGCGGCACCCACTGATGTGGACATGATGGACCACGGACTTCAGTTTTTTGAGCCTTACTAATCGAACTTCCATATGCTCTCAAAATTTTGATAATTCGAACTTTAAAAGTTCCCAATTACTACAAAATTTATTGTCTAATAAAGATTTATGCTAAAAGCGTTCAATTAACAATTGGACAGTTTTAGTCACAGTATCATGTTTTAAAATAGAGCTGTTCAGTTTCCAGTATGAACCTCTATGGTGAATATTAGGATTTAGAGAGATTTGTATTGAAATTACTCTGTGATCTGAGGAGTAGTGAGAATTTTGATATTGATGACATTGCTATCAAAACAATTGGAAACCAACCAAAAGTCTATGCAAGATAAACTAGTACGTGCTTTATTGCTCCAAGTATAAGAACTCACATCAGGATTTTTATCTCTCCATATATCAGTTATGTTGAATTTATGCATAAATTGTATCAAATTAGAGGCCATAGAATAATTGGCTCGCGGAGGCCACCTATCTTGAAGACCATCCAGAGCGATATTAAAGTCCCCTCCCATCACTATCATTGCGTTTGGATATTTAGAAAGCCAATGTTAAAAGCGAGATTCTAAAATATCAAGCAATTGTTTTCACACTTTTGAGTTGTATCCATACAAATTAACTAGCAAGATCACACTATTATTGATATTAATGATCAAAATAAAGAAATGACCTTTAGGATCACCTTCAGAATGTAAAATGTCCCCATTGAAGGAGTTCTTCAAAAAATAGCAGCACCTACTGCTCTTTCTGAGACATGCAATAACCAAATGTTATTGCCCCACTGTGCTTTCCATAACTGTGCATCGTTCTTAACTGAATGTGTCTCTTGAAAAAAAGAAAAGTCGTTTTTTTGCTGCTTTGCAAATAAAAATAAAGCTTTCCATTTGATATTCTGCCTCAGCCCCCTGGCATTAAGAAAAAAACAGAAAAAGACAATGTAACAAGAACAAGTACTATAAAAAGTAGAGCATCTCAAGTACTAGAAGAATATAGAGAACAATCTCTATCCCTTAACAACAGAGAACAAGAACACTATATGATAAACTGTCTGACTTGAGCGCAGCGTGTTGTCACCGCCTTCTGCTGCAGCCGCCTGCTCTCCTCTGTTACTTTCCAGGCGAAGTTCATCTCTAACGAGCCTGATGACTCCTGATGTCGAAATGACGCCACTACGACCACGCTTCCGTGTTTACCGCCATGTTTTTCAATTCACCTTCATTTTTATGTTTACTTTCGTAACATCCCTCCGACACACCTGAGGAGAAGAAACACATTCACTGAAGGTTTAATGAACGAACCTGCTCCGTTGTAAACAGCGTCCAGTAGTTTCCGTTGTCGCTCGTTCTCCTCTTTTGAGCGACAAAGTTGCTCCTCGTACTCTGCTATCGTTCTTTCAAACAGCCCAAATATCTCTTCAGCAGCCGCAGTTAGTCGCTGCTTCACCAACACTCTCAGCATTTGGACTTTACACATCTTCACACTTTAAAAACACAACAAAGACACTCTGCTAACAGACGTTTCTGCTCGACGCCATCTTCTTCAAACACTGTCAAGTTAGCCACAGGAAAGAATAGAGCTTCCGGGGCAGCTCAGCTGCTGTCCTTCAAAATAAAACTCCAGATCATAGGCATAGGTTTATTCAGAGAAACACGCCTGAAATAAGTGTCAAATTTGTGTATCAAATATGATAATGAAGATTTTTTTATTATACTTTTAAAATCATTAATGATCATTGTTTTGAATTTCATTTGTTTTCTAATGTCATACACGTTTTAGAATATTTAATTAGGGACTGTTGTTTACTTATCAGAGGAGGGAGTGGCTTTTTCCCCCCTGCCTGAAGTTATAAATATTTTTCCTTACACTTCACATTTTACTTTTTTAATTCTCAGTTTATCAGGGCAAAAGTTGCACTTTCCACCTGACACTTTTTTGGTCTCATTTACATTTGTTTTGTTTTTTGCAACAAAACAATTAGCAAACAAAAAACCCAAATTAAAGAAGAAGAATAAACTGCCAAACATTGTTAAAGAAAAAAAGCAATCTATTTTTAACCTGCAAAAGATTTTTCAAAAAAAAAATCAACCACAAATTTTGAAAGAAAAAAAATCGCCAAACATGTTTAAAGAAAAAAAGCCAAAAAGTATTTAAGAAAAAAGTAAAATTAGCAAAAATTAAAAAAGAAATTAACAAATTAACTTCTTCTTCTTCTTCTTCTTTGGTTACTGCCATCTACTGGACTGGTCTCCAGTATTTATTAATTGTACATGTATTTGTCCTAATCTGTCTTTGTGAATTAAATTATGAATTGAATTGAACAATATTCTTATTTATCCCCATCAGTCTACTTCTGGCGTTTTATCATTATTATACCTTTTATTGTCATTTTTATTATTTATATTTTTGTATTTATTTTTCAATTTCTTTTTATCTATTCATTATTTTTATTTATTTAGAAATTCATTAATGAATTTCCTAATGTTTTCTGGACATACTCAGAGAAAGTAATGTTAGATCAGCGAGTGGCGGTAGTGCGCCAATAAAAATCAAAAGAAGAAGAAGTGCTTCCGATTAGCATGCTAAGCTAACGTCTGGAGATTTCGGTGAAACTTTATGCATTTTTGCTGTAACTAATGGATATGTCCATGTTAAATATTGTTAGTATATTTGTTTAGTGGCAAGATAACAGCTACTAAATTATTTAACAACAAAAAGGAGCCGAAATGATGTACGAACATTTACCCGGAAGTCGTTGGCACGACCCCAAAACACTTCCGTCCCCGGAACTTATTGTTTGTTGTTAGCGTGTGGTGAACACGGTGCAGTAAAACTTTCCTTATCTGATGAAATAGTAACGTCAGAAACTGCTGGATTCGTTTTGTAAAAGCGAAAACAAAGCTTCAAATAGCGGATTTATTTTCTTTTTCCTGCCGGAAACAGGTTTACAGCTAATGTTGTCCGAGCTAAGCTAACGTTAGCCGCAGCTAGCTCCTGCTAACACATCTTTTTCTCCTCCTGGACATTAAGAACCTTGTTTTAAGTTTCTCAGAGGACGTGAGGACAATGGCGGTCAGGCGGAAGTTTGACCTCCGATTCAAAGAGACGGTTCTACAGTATGCAGAGGAAACTTCCGGAGAACAAGCTGCGAGGTTCTTCAACATCGACTCTAAGAGGATCCGGTACTGGAGGAAACAGAGGGCCGAGCTGCGGTCTGCTGATGAGGGGAGAGCACGGCTGAGCAGAGATGGGAGGAAAAAGCTGAGCGTGGAGCTGGAGAGACGGCTCTCGGAGTGGATTCACGCCATGCGAGACAGACACCAGGCGGTATCGGCGGACATGATCAAGAACAAAGCGTTAGAGATCTACCCGACGGTGAGTGACGGAGGCAGCAGGTTTGTGGCAAGCACGGGCTGGCTACAAAAATTCCTAAAGCGCTATAACCTGTCACTTCGACGTCGCAGTGCTGTGACCCAGGAAGACCCGAACCTGCTCACTGAGAAACTCGTTTGGTTTGTGGACTATGTCGGGAAGACGGTGAGCGCTAAGAGGATTTTAGAGAAGGACATCATCACAATGGACGAGACCGTAGCTTGGTTTGACGCATCGTCTCCAACACAAGGAGTACAGGGACAGGAGAGGAGCCAGCTCACCATCATCCTCGCCGCCAAGGCAGACGGCACTAAATTGAAGCCTTTTATTGTCTTCAGAGGGGCAGACGGCGATGAGGAGGCGATGCGGCAGCAGATCTCTGGCGCGGTGATCAACACGTCACCAAACGGCTGGATAAATGACACTCTTGTGTCGGACTGGCTGGAGACTGTGGTGGGGAAATCCAATGCCACGCCCCGCCTCCTGGTGTGGGACTCCCAACGGTCCCACGTTAGCGTCACCGCCAAACTGAAACATGACTTCAACATCACACCAGCAGTGATCCCAAGAGGCTGCACCGAATACGTCCAAGCCCACAACGTGATGTGGAACCAGCCCTTGAAGCAGAATCTGCACGAAGCCTACGATCGCTGGATGGCTGGGGACTACCAGAAGGAGTACACGGCCGGGGGGGACCTTAAACCTCCCGCCCGCCGCCTGCTGGTAGACTGGGTGGTCGCAGCATGGGACAAACTGGACACAGACATGATAAGAGAGTCTTTCAAAGTTTGTGGATTGTCTGTGAAAAGTGACGGCAGTGAGGATGATGTCATCGCCTGTTTCAAGGAGGGACAGCCCTGTGCCGCCGGACGGGACATGCTCACTCGGGCCCGACAGAGGAGCTGGGAGAACTGGAGCCCAGTTGCTGAAGAGGAGGAGGATGGAGTCAAAGATTTTTATTTTGAGGAGGAGGATGAAGAGGAACTTGTTTTTGAGGAAGAGGAGGAAGATGGTGATCACACCTCCTTACACTGCATCACTCATCAGGGTAAGCTGAAGATTGTTCTGTGAAGTGCTGTAAAGTTTAGTTGATTCAAAACACACATTAAACACACAGTAAACACACATTAAACACACAGTACACACACATTAAACACATTAAACACACATGAAACAAACACATTAAACACACAGTAAACACACAGTAAACACACAGTAAACACATAGTAAACACACATTAAACACATTAAACACACATGAAACACACATGAAACAAACACATTAAACATATTAAACACACAGTAAACACACATTAAACATATTAAACACACAGTAAACACACATTAAACATATTAAACACACATTAAACACACAGTAAACACATTAAACACACATGAAACACACTTTAAACACACATGAAACACACATTAAACACACATTAAACACACATTAAACATGGCTTAATAGAGACAATTTCAAACACAAATCAGCTTCACTATAACTCGCAGCATTCACAGACAAACACTTGTCTTTATCTGGACACATTTTCCCCACAAATCCAACATGCTAACGTCATTAGCACAAGCCTATGGCATTTAACATTGTATAAATTAGCCTAGCAGCTAGCAGAGATTTCCTCTGCTCATATGAAGCCAGGATAAATCACACACAAGACTTAAAATGCTATTTTAGTGGAGGCTTTATTGTCTTCACAATTTATTGTTTCTTATCTGTGAAATTAAAGTAAATCAAAGCTTTGTTTCCACTGAGGGAAATGGTTTCAGCTCACAGAGACAGACAGGAGGTCTGCGTCACTGTGACGCATAGTAACAATTCTGGGGAGGTGCACGTCAGGCTACGGCGTAGGTTACGGGGTAGGCTCTACGTCAATGTGGAGCCTATGCCGTAGCTACGGTGTCAGTTCAACGCAGAAGTAAACAAAGTGTAAGACGTTTTCATTTCCAACGACGTGTGCTCTGATTTTAATCACGAAATATTCATGACATATGTATACATATATTTTGGTACGTGGGGAGAAGCAAATGTCCCCAGAAATGGTTATCTAAAGCAGTGATTCTCAAATAGGGGCGTGTGAAGGCACTCCAGGGGGTGCCTGGAGATTTTTTTAAAAAATATATTTACCTTACCTTACCTTACTTTACCCTACCCTACCTGTAGCAGGTTTGTAGCCTTCAAGTTTTTGCTCTGGCTGTTACTAAGTTGCCATGGAACTGGCGGAGTAACATTTTTTGTTATAAGCCAGGTGTGCTGTTCTGCTGATTTGAGCACATTCCAAATGTCTTTTTGACCAATCAGATCGCTTGGTCGCAATTACTTGTAGTATATTATACATTAACAACTGTCTGTCTGTGTTTCGGCTTTACCTTCAGATGTTAAGAATGTGATCGCCGTTAAGGAGGAGCAGCAGGAGTGGAGCTCCAGTGTGGACCAGGAGGACCCAGAGCCCCCACACATTAAAGAGGAACAGGAGGAATTCTGGAGCAGTCAGGAGGGAGAGCAGCTTCAAGGGCTGGAGGAGGCTGATATCACCAAGTTCACATTCACTCCTGTCCCTGTGAAGAGTGAAGATGATGAAGAGAAACCTCAGTTTGAGGGACACCACTGTGGAGGACCAGGAACAGTGCCCGGAGGCGGAGTACAACCAGTGCCCGGAGGAGGGGTACGACCAGTGCCCAGAGACTCTGATCCAGATTTAATACCAGATACTGAGGACAAGAAGCCTGACAGTTCTTTAGTTGCTGAGATCGAAGTCAGTCTTGATGACTGGGACAAGACTAGCCCTGAGACTTCAGAGTTTTCTGAACCAGAGATTGACGAGGGTGATGACTGGAAACCTCAGTCATGTTTAAACTCTCTGAAACATAAGGAACGTCCTGTCAGGAATGGAGAGAAACAGTTTAGCTGCTCCGAGTGTGGGAGAAGATTTTCTCAAAAGAAACATCAGACCCAACACATGCAGGTCCACATACGGAAGAAACTATTGACCTGCAGTGTTTGTGAGCAAAAGTTCACTCGGCTTTGGCAGGTCAAAAGACATAAATGTGCTGGTCGTCAGTCCTCAGAGCTTTATCAGAGTCCAACTGAGGAGAGCGGAGAGGCGGAGCAGATGGAGACAGAAGCTGATGGAGAAGACTGTGGAGGACCAGAACCAGCCAGGAACTCAGATCCAGATCCAGATTTACCATCAGATACTGATGACAAGACCGGAGACTCCTCTGAAGCTGAGACTGATGACAGTGACGATGACTGGAAGGAGACCAGTGATTCACTGACGGAGGAGTATGTAATGTCTATATTGTTATTTTGGTATCTTAAAGGGATAGTGCACCCAACATGAAAATTCAGCCATTATCTACTCACCCATATGCCGAGGGAGGCTCAGGTGAAGTTTTAGAGTCCTCACATCACTTGCAGAGATCCAAGGGGAGAGGAGGTAGCAACACAACTCCACCTAATGGAGGCTGACGGCGCCCCAGATTCAAACGTCCAAAAACACATAATTGAAACCACAAAATATCTCCATACTGCTCGTCCGTAGTGATCCAAGTGTCCTGAAGCCCCGACATAAAAAGTTGTTTGGAAAAACCTCATTTGAACTCTGTTTTGTAGCTCTGACTGCCTCCCTGTGCACCGCGCTCACGGGTGAGAGGCAGGATTCGCCCTGGACAGGTCGCCAGACTATCACAGGGCTGACACATAGAGACAGACAACCATTCACGCTCACATTCACACCTACGGACAATTTAGAGTCATCAATTAACCTAGTCCCCAATCTGCATGTCTGTGGACTGTGGGAGGAAGCCGGAGTGCCCGGAGAGAACCCACGCTGACACGGGGAGAACATGCAAACTCCGCACAGAAGGGCTCCCACACCCGGGATCTGCTGTGAGGCGAGAGTGCTAACCACCACACCACCGTGACAGCAGAAGTTTGGCGGCTAAATTTATAGTCTTCTCAAAGCGAATCACTGGAATGGAAGGAACTCAGGCGTGCTGATCCAGCAGTAAATATAGCCTAAATATTGAGATTATAATTAACAGGAGACAAAATTTTTGTCTCCAAAAACAAGAAAACTGCAGCTCCTGTTTACTCTCATTTGTGTACAGGTAAGTCTTGCCCTCTCCAATATGGCGGCGCTGCTGACATATTGCTGCAATGGGCTGACAAAGTCATTATGGCGTCTACATATATATATATGTCTATGACCATTAGAATAGAATAGAATATACTTTATAGTCCCCTAGGGGAAATTTGTCATGGACTCAAGTGCGTAGTAGTAGTAGCTGCCTTGCAGACAATAAATATACATAGAATACATATAACAGCTAGAGACGTACATGTACATACACACTCATATTATTACCTGTTTCAGTCTTGACCTTTTTTTCCTGTGTCTTTTTTCACAGTGAAGATGAAGATGACGATGATGAGGACGATGACTTCACAACAGGGTCATCAACAACATCACAACATCCAATGAAGCGCCGTCGAGATGGGTCCGCCGCCTTTAGAGCAAGAGAAGAGGAGGAGGGGGAAGAGGCTCGGTGGCATAACAAAGAGGAGAAAGATAAAAGACCCGACCCACTCAGGTTCATACCCATCAGGGAACCTGGCCCCACCCTCGACCCCACCGCTTCATGGTCTCCCCTTTCACTCTTCCAGCTGTTTTTTAGTGACTCCATCGTCTGCACCATCATTGAAAACACAAACGCAAATGCTGCCAAAAGACTTAAGTCCGGGTTGAAGTTTGTGTGGAAACCTCTGACGGTGAGCGATTTCTACATCTTCCTGTCCATCATCATCTTCTCAGGACTTGTTAAAGTACACGTCAGAGGGGACTACTGGAGAAAGGAATGGCCGTTCAACTTCAGATTCCCTGGCGAAACCATGAGACGGGATCGCTTTGAATCCATCTTATGGTCCCTGCACTTGAGCAATCCAGCAGAGGACGAAGAGAACGACCGCAAGAAGAACACAGCAGAGTATGACCGACTGTTCAAGATCAAGCCACTGTACACTGAGATAGTGAACGCCTGCAAAGTGCAGTTCCAGCCTTACCAGAATATTTCCATAGATGAACGGATGGTGGCGTCCAGGGCTCGCACAGGTATGACACGATACATGAAGGACAAGCCCACAAAGTGGGGGTACAAAATATTTGTGCTTTCGGACTCCTTAACGGCCTACACGTGGAATTTCTTTGTCTATGAGGGAAGGAGTGTGCATGGTCCAGGCCAGGGTTTGAACTACACTTCAGTCATGGACCTTATGGCGTTCCCTCTCCTTGGTCGGGGCTACACACTATTCGTCGACAGTTTCTATTCCAGCACCGCCCTCTTTAAGGAACTGTCCAGACAAGACATCGCCGCATGTGGGACAGTCAGAAAAAAACAGATTGGCTTTCCAAAGACCACCCAGAATGACTTACCAAAGAATGCTGAAAGAGGAGATATGCGATGGATACGCCAAAACAACCTCCTGTTTGTAAAATGGATGGACACACGTGAAGTGACCATTTGCTCAACTGTACACGAAGCCTTCAGCGGACAGACAGTGCAGAGGAAAGTCAAAGAGGCCGGCGTGTGGCAAACCAAGAACATAACCATTCCCGATTCTATTGTGGAGTACAACCGCAACAGGGGTGGCGTGGATCTGTCCGATGCTTTGATCGGCTGCTACAGCGTGCACCACAAAACCATGAAATGGTACAAGAGGTTCTTTTACCATTTTATGGACATCGCTGTGGTCAACAGTTTCCTGCTCCACAAAGAACTACACAAAAAGAAGAACGATCCCGTTGTGAAGAAGCCACTCTCCCAGAAGCGCTTTAGGGAGAAGCTCGCTGCAGAAATGCTGTGGTATGCCAAAGACTCAGCACCACCAACGTCAACTCCAGCCGCCTGCATGCCTGCATACTTTGGAGACAATGGTACAGAATCCAGGAAGTACTGCAAGAGATGCCAGGACGCTGGTATCAAAAGGATGAAAACACCTGTGTACTGCATGAAGTGTCAGGTCCCGCTCTGCTTTAATGCCAGAAGGAACTGCTTCAAAGATTGGCACAACAAATAAGCCCCTCTTCGTTTCATTAATTAGCTATGGATGGAGGAGAGGAGCCTTTTCCCCCTAAAACCCCGCCCATGGACCCAAATTTGTTTTTTGGATCATCTGAGATGGGTCTTGAATTTGGGTGCATTTGGTAATATGGATATTCCACCTCAACATTCCTTGACTAAAACCTCTATAACTTTCCTCTGTTCTACTTAAACAGTATCAGTCTTGGCACCAGTAATGTTCAGATGTTGCTGCAACTACATAATTCCAACAGGATACCATAAAATTTCATTTAAAAGCCTAGTCCCAATTAAATGTCCAGTCCCTTTTACGAGCCCGATGTGGCCTCTGGATTAGAGAGCTGTACCAGGTGCCGCTCCAAGGCTCCAGTATCCCCGGCTTGTCAGAAAGGAAGCAGGATGGACAACACCGCAGCAGGTGTAACTGATCAGATGCAGGAAACCAAGTGTCAGCCAGGCCAGGCCTCTATTTGAGACAGGCCTTTAATTTGACAATTAAAGACCTGGCCTGGTTGCTAAGCAGTTTGCTTTTCATAGAAGTTCTTTGGATGTATAAAACTGGATTGTTGACTACCCACTTGAGCTAACGTTAGTTAGCTGCTAAGATCAGCCTACTAATTGAAATTTTATGGTATTCACACTGAAAAGTAACAGTTCTGTTTGGCAGAAATGAAATTTTTCATTTATGCTGTGCATCATTACCATGAACTCTGACACATCTGCAGAAATCCCACAAATGTACCTTTATCATGATACCAAAATTATTCATATCGACCAGGGGTCGGTAACCATAACTATCAAAACTGTTTACGATTTTTGACCAGAAATACTAAAAAAAATCCACACAACGTATTTGAGCCTCATAATAATGTAAACATAGCCAAGTCTAAATTAGCCTTAACAGTCTAAACGAGCATTCATTAATATGTTTTACCACAATGTAGCGACTGTACAGGGCACTATTAATGATTATTTGGAGTTTTAACTTTGCAAAGCTGGCAGTGAAAGCAAACACATCTGTCCACACACTACTAAACTTTCTATTTTATTTCAAGACTTATATTTTTTTTGGATTTAGCACCCATAGCTAACCATAGCTGACTCAAGAGAGAGTCACCGCTATCAAAGTTCGACAAAATTTCAAGGAAAGGGTGCCACTTTCACTTGTTGAAATGTTTAAAATGAATGTATTTGGTATATAGGCTTCACATTTTCACAATTGGAGAATTTAAGAATTTCTTTAGGCCAGCAGTACTGACAAATAAAAACTAATATGTTAAAAAAAACTTATTCATTTCCATATAATACCTTTGTCAAAGCTACAGAGAGACACTGGAGAGGGACTAAAGAGCAGCATGTGGCTCCAAAGACACAGGTTGCCTTCCCCTGATGTAGACCATGTAGTTAGAGAATATACTCTTCATTTTAGGCATATCATTTTTGAGCCCCTGAGCTGGGGGCTTTAGGGATTACAGACTCCTCTGAACCTGAGACTGTTCAGTGTTATGTGTCATGTATCTTTGCAGAGAAACATGATGTGTCATGAAGAAGAAAAGTCTAAATACATTTTCGATACAGTTTCAAGTTAATGAAACACAAGTTGTTCAGGAGATCAACGCTGCTGATATTTTCAGCATTCAAATATTTCCACTACAAACAGAAAACTGTGTAATGTAAAAAGCATCATCAGGTTTGAGTCCTAAGATAAATCTTCAAACACTAGAATGAAACTTATCTTTGTTACTCCAGGTGTTTCAATTTTTTATTTATTTATTTTTTTAGTCTTACCCTTGGATGAGTTCAATTTTTTGTTACTTTTATACCTTCTGAATGTGTTGAAACAACACTGCAACTTTATGATGTTACTTTAACTCGGCTGATTGCTGATACCTTTTAATACACTGAAAAAGTTTCCTTCATGTCTGTACAGCGTTACTGAAGTTTTTTTGTTGCTAAAAGAATGTTTGATTATTATTTATGAAAGGTGTCTGCATGTTCAACAACAATGATAAAGGTTGCTGTACTGGAATCAAGAACATTTGAGCTTAGGCACTGGACTTTTTAGAAAATACGACTCTGAGGAGGGTGGCATGGTGGTACAGTGGTTAGCATTGTTGCCTCACAGCAAGAGGGTTGTTGGTTCAAATCCAGGGCTTGACCCCCAACAGGATAAGCGCTTACTTAAATGAATGACTTTAAGGATCCAATTACAAATAAAAATAGCGTTTAGAGATGTTAATAATTTTTTTGTTGGGATGTTTTGATCCAATCTCCATGATCAGTATTGGGACCGATCAAGGTATTTTTAAGTGATCGGGGTAGGTTCTGTTGAGCTGTGTGTAACTCGATCCAATCATTTGTTTTACTTTCACACAGGTGTTTTAACTGGTGATGGTTTCAAGTACAGCGTCGCAACCAGTGCAACTCTTATGGAAGTATTTCTGTGCCATCTGAGTTTGAATTTGAATTCCTAAAACTGAATTTTTTAGCATCAAAATCAGACTATGAATTTTAAAAACCATTAAATTTCTAGCAGTGATTTTTTTTTTTTTTTTTTTGCCTCTGATTTTTTCATTCATCTTCTAACCACTTCATCCTCTTGAGGGTCGCGGGGGGGTGGAGCCTATCCCAGCTGACATCGGGCGAGAGGCATGGTTCACCCTGGACAGGTCGCCAGACTATCGCAGGGCTAACACATAGAGACAAACAACCATTCACGCTCACATTCACACCTATGGACAATTTAGAGTTATCAGTTAACCTAGTCCCCAAACTGCATGTCTTTGGACTGTGGGAGGAAGCCGGAGAGAACCCATGCTGACACGGGAAGAACATGCAAACTCCACACAGAAGGGCTTCCACACCCGGGATCGAACCGGCAACCCTCTTGCTGTGAGGCGAGAGTGCTAACCACCTCACCACCATGCCGCCCCCTCTGATTTTTTTTTTTCAATGTTAAAATAAATTCAGTGTAAAAAGATCCAGAGTTAACAATCGGGTAACCAGGGAGAAGCAGTTGATCCCTGTCTCAATTCATCCAACGTCCAGCCAATCCGGTCTTTAAGTGTGACGTAACACCCTTTCAAAATACTATTTCCGGGTCCAAACATTCTGTCAGATACTCAAACGACAATGACGGAACCGGTGAACCTGTTTACAATCACTTCTTTCCTCAGCGAGGTCAGTGTAGGTGTTCTGCCTGGTGGAATAATAAAGGATTGCGTCCAGGCATCACAGAAAAAGAGAGTTGAGGTGAGTTTGAAGTTAGCAGCAAGCTAGCTAGTTGATCTAAAGATGATATGCCAAAAACACCGTACAGGACTGCTAAAACTTTTGGAGCGTTAGTGAAGTTAGGCAAGTTGACATATAATGATGTGCCAGCCCCTGGCTAGCAACAGTATTGTTAGGCTAATATCTTTTAGATGTGTTAGGGTGAGGGTTGAATTGTTTTCAATATAACATCAGGTTCATGTTGAGGGACAGGCAGTAAGGTACCGCAGCTGCTAGTGCCCATTCAGCCAACACAAGTGCCACCATATGGCAGCTCTGCTGATTTGGGTCGGAAAAAAATGTGTCCTGCACCGATGATGAGGGCGACGATGCCAAGGATGGGCGACGTATCAGCAAGGAGAGTGTCTGAGATGGCCCCAGCCACAACACAAAGTTAGTAATTAATTTGCAAATGATGCTGTCTTGTTGTTGCTTGTTTTGAATTATTTACTTAACATCATGTGGTTTAGAGCTATTGTATTATGTGAAGATTAACTATCAAACAGTGCTAATATACACTCATGTATACCATGGTGTATCATGTTATTTCAGCTGGAATCAAAAGATCTGTCACTCAGGAGGACAAGGACTGGGTACAGGCAGTGGTTGAATTGTTAACAAGGGGGATGCAATGTACCTTTGATTTTTTTGTGTGCACACATCATCAAATATGACAGCACAGATGTGCAAAATTAATCAAGATGAAGAAAAATGGCATGACCTATACCTGCTGCCTTTAAAAAACAAATAATGCAGTAGTATTGCTATTGCAATACAGACAAAAATCATTTTAGAGTATAAATAAGAGTAGTTCTGAAGTAGCTCTGAAAATTGATCTTAGAGTCACTCTTATCCTACAGACATTTCCTTAGCCAGTCATAATTTCTCCTTACCTGTGAAGCCTTGGGCTGATAATTGGTGCTGCTGTCCTGATACCTGCCTGGTTTCTCTCTGTCCCTCTTCTATCTATTGCAATAATATAGATAATAAATGTGCAAAGCAAAATTCATAAATTAGGAATAATAGTGGTGACATAGCTGTGGAAATTAATCGCACAGTCACTTTTGTGCTCTAGATATTTTCTTTCAGCCAGTTATAATCTCTCCTCACCTGTGAAGACCCTGCATGATCACCCTTGCTGGCCTCTGGTCCACTGTCTCCTCCCTGACTCTGCTCTTTATATTGTGGCAATAAAGATAAAAAAAATATGTGCAAAGCAATAGTGAGCACAAGTTCTTATTAAGGAGGAGTGGGTTTATTCTTAGCATGAAACTAGCTAGCAAGGTATTTAACATAGGTAACAATAACATTAGTGTTCTTGTTAACTAGCTTAACTTGATATATTGGCATCTATTAATTAGTCATCATTTAGCGAACATTATCTACATGCAACAGCATCACTCAGCTTACATGGTGTGCTTGGAAGAAACTGTGCAAGATTTTTTGCTACTTGCTGGCTGGTTTGCTGAACATAGTTAACACACAGCAGCACACGTCTCGTCTGTGCGATTGATTCAGATCACAACAGGACAGCATGTGTATGCCGCCTGGCGCCGGTGCGTTTAAAGATGGCTCAGAAAAACACGTTAACACATGTTAAAAACGAATTGAACGGTTGTAACGGCTATAAAAAGTGCGGGGGACAGGGCACAGATACGGGAAGTGCGGGGGACATATCCCCTGCGTCCCCCCCTCAAATTACGTCCGTGTCTGCACACACAGATTCTAGATTAACAACGGGGATGCTTTTTGGTCAATTTTCTAACAAAGGAGATGGCATCCCCCCTCAATTCGACCACTGGGAACAGGCATCCCTGTCACAACCTGTGTTTTACTGGGATGGGGTGGATTTTGAGTCCAGAAACTCCTCGGTACAACTTATGTCTTTTGTACTTTGATATTACAGATATCAGACTGTCCGCTTTAACTGAAAGATATTTTGTATACATTATGTGAAACCTCACTGACAAGGAAATCAACCATTTGTATTTGTAAAACTGTTTGCTAAACTTTAAATCTAGACTCTCCCTATCAAGACATTTGAGGGGCTGTTGACCAACCCAGGTTATAACCAAGCAGAGGACAAGGCTCTTTATTTGCTGTCATCACTTGCAGTCACTGAGCAGGAGAAGCAGCAGATAGAGAGAGGGTTAATTCATTCATTCATTCATTAATGATTAACCTTGTATCAAGCCCTTGGCAAGCTTCAGCTGCTTGATAACAGGTTAATGATTAGAATCAGGTGTGTTAGAGTGGGGTCATACCTCAAACATGTGGGGCAGTAGCTCTCCAGAAGCAGGGTTGGTGACCACTGTATTAAATGTTATGGGTTTTTTTTTGTTGATCGGGCAATCCTCCATGAGCCAAGGGCAAAGCACCAATACACGGAGCGCACAGGTGTTGTCATCCAAGAGAGGGGATTGTTCCTGTCTGACAGCGGCCTACTCTGTGGCTCTCCAGATGGGACAGTGTCTAACGATTGTGTTATAGAGGTGACATGTCTGTGGTCAGCCAGAGCCAAGACCATCCTACAAGCAGCAGAGAGTAGGGACTTCCTCCTGGAGTTGGATGAAGAAACTGGTTTCCTGACGCTAAAACAACTCCGTAACTACTGGAATCAGATTCAGGGCAACCTACACCTGACGAGCTAACAGTTGTCACCTAATTGTATGGACCTTGTCATCCTGCCAGTGCTCAAAGATCCCACATGGGCTCTTAACATTGACACATTTTATAAAGAGTGTTTGCTTCCAAACATGGTGTTGCAGTTGTTGTAAAGTAGTGTTGGAAAGTAACTAAGTACATTTACTCAAGTACTGTACTTAAGTACAGTTCTGAGGTACCTGTATTTTACTTGAGTATTTCTGTTTGATGCTACTTTATATTTCCACTCCACTACATTTATCTTCATCTTCAGCTCTCAGATGAAGATGTGACACAAAAGATAATATGTTGTTTTGTTATGTTTCATGTAACACAGGACCAAAGAGTGATTGTAAATGTTTGTATGTTAATATCTGCACTTGCACTCACCCTGCATTCATGACCTGTAAATATTCATGTCCTTTGAATCAATTTGTATTGTTATAATAAATTAAGTTTTTGGCACGAACACAATGTTTGTGACACTCAAGACAACATGTCTCTGACAAATATAGGTTTCATGGTAAAAAGAACAGTCACAGTTTTTACCTGGTTTTACTTTTTTAAAGTTTTCTGCAAAACTAATCATTCATGAAAATCGATTACAAGAATATATATTCTTCATCTCAATGGTCTTCATTTCATGTCAATAATCTATTCCGATCATGTCCTTATATACATGTAACAAAGCTTTACGGCCACTGGGAAACAGTCCTCCACATTTTTTAACACACTGACAATCATTCATTCGATTTCGCGGAGGATCGGTGTTTGCAAATTTGTAAGACACACACATACAATATACAGTCATATACGTCATCTATATATAGCCAGTATCATCAGGAGCCACGCAAGAGAGTTGTCGGCTGCTCCATCGCCGGTAGAAGAGAGGAGAGGAAAATTAGACTGCAAACTTTCAACAGTTTATTAGATGTAGACTATATCTAGAAGTTAAGTCAAAGCAACGAGACGTCTTGTCAGAAACAGACCAGGCTGAAGAAGTCACCTGAAGCAAAACAAGTTTTTTTTACTTGACTTTTACAAATACAATTATTAGTTTGCAGTAGCTGATTTAGGTAGGCATGACCTAATAAAATAAAACATAGATAGGCTTAATAATAAATGTACAGAGACAACTTTGAGGAATTCTTTTAAAGATTTATTTAGGCATCATAAAGTCACAGTGTACTATAACCTTAACCTGTACCATAACTGCATGACGTGACGTTAGCTGCTGCACATCTACATTTTTTTTTTTTTTTTTTTTTTATGACAGAGCAACACTAACACACAAACTTGTGTTGGCCCACCTGAGGATTTGTACAGCAGCCACCCTCCAGTAACTGTCCCCAATTATGGGAATAAAACTTTGAGGGCATCACGTAACTGTAAGGAAAAAATGGATACAAGTGTAATCTCCAAAAAGAGAGTCAAAACTCGTTATTCAAATCAAGAATAAATGACACTGCATGAGAAACTAGCAAATCCTTGTAACTCCACAGACTGAATCCAATATACAACACAACTAGCCTAAATAACTAAGTGCATGTTATTACCTCTTCATGTGTTGTGCGTTCATCGAGATGAGCAGTCC